GTATATCCTTGATTTGTCGCAATGCTTATCGCCGACTTATTGTCCATATGCACAGTGGTTGCACTCTTGCACGCGACACCCATTTCCATCAGCAAATAGTGAATCCACACAATCTCTTGAGTAGCTAGTGCCAATGACATATACTCAGCTTGTATATAACACTCGAGCCCGAAGATAAACGTCAATGCATGGACGATTACGAAATTTCGCTTTCTGCCACTGTTGTACCCACGACTTACAACGAGGCAATACAGTCATCAGAGTCAAAGCAATGGAAAGCAGCAATTCTGACCGAGATTCAAGCTCATGAACGCAATCACACATGTGATGTTGTTTGCCGCCCGTCTGGTGTCAAGGTTATTGGAAACAAGTGGGGTTTTGGGCACAAGTTTGATGAAAATGGTGAAATTGTGCGTTATAAGGCGCGTTTGGTTGCTCTTGGATACCTGCAAACGCATGGTTTTGATCACTTCAATACGTAATCACCGGTTGCGTGCTCAAACACAATTCGCACGTTTCTTGCGGTTTGCTGCAGTATGAAATATGTGATACGACAATTTGATGTGGAAACAGCCTTTCTAAATGGAGACTTGGAAGAAGACGTTTACATGGAGCCACCACCAGGGATAAAATTTACGTCTGGATCGGTTTGCAAGCTAAGACGAAGTTTGTATGGGTTAAAACAAGCCGCAGCAGTTTGGTACAAGAAGATATGCTCTGTATTTGTGACTTTAGGCTTTGAACAATGTCGTGCGGACACTTGTCTTTTTTGCTCGACGTCCCAGTACTAAAGTCAAGTCACTTTCGTACATAGTGCTGTATGTGGATGATATTTTCATCGGATGCAAGTCGAATGCAGAGGCTGATGGAATTTACAATGAATTGACAGCTCATTTCTCGGTGAAGTCGCTTGGAGCTGCGCGATTTATTTTGGGTATGGAGGTGAACTATTCTCTAGAAAAAGGAGAGCTGGTTTTGAAACAGACTCAATTTATCAAGAAGATGATCATGGATTTCGAACAAGATGGTGCTTACGAAGTTCGCAGTCCAAGTATCGCTGGTCAAGATTTGACCCCTACTGACTCGCAGTGTGATTTTAAAAACAGCACTTTGTATCGAAAACTGGTGGGTTCCCTAATGTACATCGCGAATGCTACGCGACCTGATATCAGCTACACGATGTCGGTGTTATCGCAGTATTTGGAGAAGCCAAAACTGATGCACTGGCGTGCAGCGTTGCGCGTTTTGCATTACCTGATGGGAACACAATCACACGGGATTGTATACAAGAGATCGGACAGCAACAAACTCATGCTTTGCGCCTACTGTGATGCAAACTGGGTAGGTGACAAAAGTACTCGTCGCTCGACCTCTGGTGTTTTAATTTTGCTCGGAAACGCGGTTGTTGTATACAAGAGCAAAAGACAAAGCTCGGTGGATTTGTCTTCGGCTCGTGTATATAACAACCAGACAACTACTTCTCAGTGCTTGAAAATGGAAAGTAGTATTAAGAGTTAAGACTACTGCTAAAATGCATATATAAATCCCCTCATAAAGTGATCGCTCATCCAGAATGTTTGAAGAGACCTGTCCCTGCAATTTGCCATTAACACGACACACAATTCATGTCGTGGTACGTAAACCTCAATACCCCCCCTTCAACTTGCACTCTCATGAATTCCACTTGCATCACGCAGACGTAGCAGTTGTGGTGCACTTAGTGGCTTCGTTAGGTAATCAGCAAGCTGCATAACAGACGGAACATGTTTGAGCTGAATTGTGCGCTACTCAACGTGGTCTCGGACGAAATGCACCCTCAGGTCAACGTCCTTGGCTCTTGGCGTATATCCTTGATTTGTCGCAATGCTTATCGCCGACTTATTGTCCATATGCACAGTGGTTGCACTCTTGCACGCGACACCCATTTCCATCAGCAAATAGTGAATCCACACAATCTCTTGAGTAGCTAGTGCCAATGACATATACTCAGCTTCGGCCGAAGACAAAGCCACCGAGCTTTGTCTTATGCTCTTGTATACAACAACCGCGTTTCCGAGCAAAATTAAAACACCAGAGGTCGAGCGACGAGTACTTTTGTCACCTACCCAGTTTGCATCACAGTAGGCGCAAAGCATGAGTTTGTTGCTGTCCGATCTCTTGTATACAATCCCGTGTGATTGTGTTCCCATCAGGTAATGCAAAACGCGCAACGCTGCACGCCAGTGCATCAGTTTTGGCTTCTCCAAATACTGCGATAACACCGACATCGTGTAGCTGATATCAGGTCGCGTAGCATTCGCGATGTACATCAGGGAACCCACCAGTTTTCGATACAAAGTGCTGTTTTTAAAATCACACTGCGAGTCAGTAGGGGTCAAATCTTGACCAGCGATACTTGGACTGCGAACTCCGTAAGCACCATCTTGTTCGAAATCCATGATCATCTTCTTGATAAATTGAGTCTGTTTCAAAACCAGCTCTCCCTTTTCTAGAGAATAGTTCACCTCCATACCCAAAATAAATCGCGCAGCTCCAAGCGACTTCACCGAGAAATGAGCTGTCAATTCATTGTAAATTCCATCAGCCTCTGCATTCGACTTGCATCCGATGAAAATATCATCCACATACAGCACTATGTACGAAAGTGACTTGACTTTAGTACTGGGACGTCGAGCAAAAAGACAAGTGTCCGCACGACATTGTTCGAAGCCTAAAGTCACAAATACAGAGCATATCTTCTTGTACCAAACTGCTGCGGCTTGTTTTAACCCATACAAACTTCGTCTTAGCTTGCAAACCGATCCAGACGTAAATTTTATCCCTGGTGGTGGCTCCATGTAAACGTCTTCTTCCAAGTCTCCATTTAGAAAGGCTGTTTCCACATCAAATTGTCGTATCACATATTTCATACTGCAGCAAACCGCAAGAAACGTGCGAATTGTGTTTGAGCACGCAACCGGTGATTACGTATTGAAGTAACCAAAACCATGCGTTTGCAGGTATCTAAGAGCAACCAAACGCGCCTTATAACGCACAATTTCACCATTTTCATCAAACTTGTGCCCAAAACCCCACTTGTTTCCAATAACCTTGACACCAGACGGGCGGCGAACAACATCTCATGTGTGATTGCGTTCATGAGCTTGAATCTCGGTCAGAATTGCTGCTTTCCATTGCTTTGACTCTGATGACTGTATTGCCTCGTTGTAAGTCGTGGGTACAACAGTGGCAGAAAGCGAAATTTCGTAATCGTCCATACATTGACATTTAGCTTCAGGCTCGACTACGTCAGCATCATCCTCATTATCCGCTACAGTTCCATCTGTCAAGAGTGGTAAATTTCCACGACAATGTCCAGAATTATCACTTTCAAGCAAACGATGGTACGAATCGTCACTTAATCGTCTTTTACTCGACCCAGTGTATACCTCAAGTCTGTCCTCCTGGTTGTACTGCTCCTCACGCGGTACAATTGCATTTGAGCGATCGCAAATGTCTTGTAGCATGTGCGTGCGCTGATGACCCTTCTCATCAACGCCTCCACTTTGTGTGCATTTCTCTAATTGTTTAACCTGTCCGCTCATCTGTACGCTCCCCTTCAATCGGAACAATCTCCAAATTTTCCGACCTGTTGTCCTCGCCATAGGCATTCACAACCATGTCTTACCAGCTAGGGTCAACATCATCTGCTCCATCAACTTCCATGTCTTCCGCATCATGAGAATCCGCTGAAATGGGTACATTTACCGCATTTTCGTCTCTATCATCGTGCTGTTGTGTGATTTGGACACAATTTTCACTCACAACAATATTCTTGTATCGTGAAGGAGGCCTTTCGTCCAGTGTGACAGAAAGAGTCACTACCAACTGTTCTCGATCCACATCCTACAAACGGTACGCCTTTGCTCCATTTATAAGAAGTAGATCCGACATGTCGACTTGGTAATGTTGAGGTTTACGTACCACGACATGAATTGTGCGTCGTGTTAGTGGCAACTTGCAGGGACAGGTCTCTTCGAACATTCTGGATGAGCGATCACTTTATGAGGGGATTTATATATGCATTTTAGCAGTAGTCTTAACTCTTAATACTACTTTCCATTTTCAAGCACTGAGAAGTAGTTGTCTGGTTGTTATAGGTTATGAGCCCAAATGCGTTGGCCCCTAATGATATCCTTACGGATGATAGCTGGGAATTTAACGCGCGCATGACCCTTGCACGCAAGGATCTATTGGATCATGTAATGGTGAAGCCAGAGTCGGCAGTGCTACGGGAATTTCCCGAGTGGAAAGTCGCCGATATGAAGGCTCTGGCTGTGCTGGTGAAGTTACTCTCACCCACCTACCAGTGTATGGTTCGGGAATGTGAGACAGCCCTTGAGGCTTGGGGGGGGGTATTGCAGACATTCTTCGCGAAGAAGAACCTCCACAATCGGGTGCAACTTCGGAAACAATTACATGAATTTGTGATGGAAAATGGTACGAGTCTAATGGACCACCTACTGAAGTTTGATGAGCTTTGTTTATAGCTCAGGGCTGCTGGTGATAGCATGGATGATGATGAGAAGCTAGTACTTCTCTCGAAAAGCTTATCATCTGAATATGATGATATGGTGCGCATAATTGAGGCGCACAGCAACGTGACGCTGTTGGACGCAAAAGAGATGCTCCGGCGGGAGTATGACACGCTACAGAAACGTGATAAGAATGAAACTGCTTTTAAAGCACACGCACAACCCAATGTGAATCGACGCTTTCAAGGAAACCGAGGACACCATGGCTGTCAGAACGATAAAGATCGAAACCAAGATTTTAGACGAAGGAACGACAACGCAAGATTTCAAGACAAGTGTTTTACTGGTGGAAAACATGGTCACAAGAGTTCGCAGTGTCACAGCGTGAAACAGTCAAGATCTGGCGATGAATTTGTTTTCTCAGCATCAAGCAAGAAATTGGAGTCAAGTGCACCTTGGCTGCTGGATAGTGGTGCAAGCCGTCACATGACTGATGACGAGCGTGATTTTGTGGAGTATGAAAATCTGACTACCCCAATTATCATCACAGTTGCTAATGGACAGCATCTGATGGCGAAAGGAACGGGGTCGGTGCGATTTGTACTGGAAAATGGCCGCACAGTTATGCTGAAGAAAGTTCTTCATGTGCCTAAATTGGACAAGAAGCTTGTATCTGTACCAGCACTGACAGCCCGAGGTGTGCTTGTGCAGTTCAAGCGTAATCAAGCAGTCCTAACATCCAATGGGATTACGGTAGCAGTGATTAATCGAGTGGGAAAATTGTTTGCGTGGAATGTGAAGCAGGATGTGGTATTGGAGGCGTACAAAGCCGAGAGCACGACCAAAGAAGATGATGAAAGTGGACCGTGGCATGCTCGCCTTGGTCACGTATCGACAAGCAAGCTTAATCAAGTAATGAAGGCGTGCGACGGTATTACGAAATTGTCGGCAACTGAAGTCGGTGTTTGCGATGGGTGCTTATTGAGGGTTACCGGTACAATCCGAACCTAGCGCGTAGTTCTTACGAGATAATTTTTACATCGGTAATTACCTCAGAGATGATTAGACGCGTAGGATGATTGGACGCGTGTAAATCAGGTTGATTAGATGCACCATGTGATTGGATGCAGTCTAGGGTAGGCAGAAGTTAAGACCTATAAATCAATCACTTTCGAATCCTCCCTCAAGTGAGCAAGTGTTCTCTGCTTCGTTCTCTCCGGTCTCTCCGCTTCGTTTTCTCTTCGCCTCGCGCTCAAGTTCCAACAGGTTATGAGCCCAAGTGCCATGTCGTCCAACAACACCTCGGCCAGTGTCTCCATCGATAAGTTCGATGGGGACAACTACGCGACTTGGAGTCGTTACATGCGTGGCGTGTTTCTGACCAAGTCGGTCTGGCACGTCGTTAACCGTGAGACGACGCCGATCTTCGCGAGCCCTCGTTCCATGGACGACTACGTCAAGACGAGCAACATCGCGTTTGGTTTGATGTTGCTCCACATGGGTGCGGATTATCACCATGTGGTCGACGACTGTGAGGAAGCATGGGTTGCGTGGTCACGTCTTAAGTCGTTCTATGGTGGATCGCAGAAGGCCGGACGGATTTACCTCAAGCGTCAGCTGTTCAGCATGAAGATGGCTGAAGGTGGTAACGTCTTGCATCACTGCAATGATGTGTTGAACATCGGCGCCAAGCTCAGCAGCATCGGCGCCAAGATGGAAGACGAAGACATCGCGATCTGCTTGTTGCTCAGTCTCCCGAAGAGTTTTGAGAACGTGGTTCTGAACTTGGAGATGAGCAATGCAGAACTGCGTACCCAAGATGTGGTGAAGGTGCTGACGAATGAGCACGCCAAGCGTCAAGGGGAGAAGGTGACGACAACAGCGACTACGGTGAAAGCTGAAGATGCAACCAAGGCATTCAGCACCGAGCGTGAGCCTTACCAATGCACATATTGTGGCAAGGTAGGGCACAAAGTGGATCGCTGTTGGACGAAGCAGAAGAATGAAGGTCGAGGAGCCCGACGCGGCGGCAATGGTCGTGGACGCGGGGCTAATAATGTCCAGTGGGGACAATATGATGAAGGCAACAGCCACGATCGAGTGGCATTTGCAGTTTCTTTGGAATGTGGAATTTCGACAAACAAGAATGGACCAGGAATGTGGGCCGTTGACAGCGGGGCAACACATCACATCTGCCACGACAAGTTCAAGTTTGCAAGCTTGGTCGAAGGCAATGGTGGCGAGATTTTGGTTGCTGATGGCAACAAGGTGGCCATCAAGGGTGTGGGAACCATCATTGAGAAGGTGGTTCTGCCAAATGGTGAAGAGCGTGAAATCGAGATCAAGAACGCTTTGTATGTGCCCAGCATGAGCAAGAATCTGCTCTCGGTGCCCCAGATCAACAAGCATGGCAAGTTCCAAGTAGTGTTTGATGGTACCAGGATGTATGTTGCTCACAAGGACTCGAATCAAGTGGTGGCGGCTGCAGATCTTGTGGATGGACTTTACTGGCTTCGCACGACGCAGCGATCGGCCAATGCGACATCACTCAGCAACGCTGTTGATCTACATGCGCGAATGGGTCATGCTCCAGTCGACGTGCTTCGCAAGATGGTGACAAGCCACATGATCAAGGACGCTCACATCCCTTCCAAGCCGAATGGATCAAGTGTATGCCACGGATGCCAGCAAGGGAAAATGGTCCAGAAACCGTTCCCGAGCAACCGTGACAAGCGCCGCTATGACACGTTTGAGCTTCTCCACTTCGACATTTGTGGTCCTATGGAGCAAGAAACACTGGGTGGTAGCAAGTATTTGCTCCTCATCGTGGACGAAGCCAGCGGATGCATGAAAGGTTTTTGCCTAAGTGCCAAGTCTGAGAGCGAAGAACATCTCAAGACCTACATCAAGATGGTGCAGACGCAGTTCAACAAGCAAGTCAAGTTCGTGCGTCACGATGGAGCTCGAGAGTTTGCGACGAGCTCGCTTCAAGATTTCTACGAGGATGAAGGCATTGAACAACAGACTACGGTGCCATACGCACATCAAGCCAATGGAACTGCTGAACGCGCGATTCGGACTATCGTCACGATTGGTCGTAGCATGCTACATCATGCCAAGCTGGACAAGTGCTTCTGGGCTGAAGCAGCAATGACGGCAATCTACGTGAAGAATCGTCTGCCGTCGCCCAAGATCCCCGACATGACACCATTCGAGATCGTGTGCCAGTCCAAGCCAAGCGTCAAACACATGCGTGTTTTTGGATGCCAAGCCTACATTCTGACGTCAAGTGAGAAGCGACTCAAGTGGGATCCCAAGGCTCGCGCTGGAATCTTTTCGAGCTACGAAGAAGTGTCCAAGGCATATCGTGTATTTGACATCGAGGAGGGGCAGGTGATGATAAGTCGCGATGTCAACTTCGATGAGTCGGCCTTTGGAATGTCGATGCTGATTTCCGATGACGATGTTGATGGCCTGGACTTCGAATCGATCGATCTTGATGATGAAGAACCGCGTCCGAGACACTTCAAACAAACAGGAAAGCGCAAGGCCCAACCCAGTCACGACAATGACGACGCAAGCATGCCCCGAGCAGTGCGCCAACGACCCGGATTGGAAGAGTCAAGTGCGCCGGATGACCTCTCTTCACGTCGAGCCAACGAAGATGAAGAAAGGAAGTCGGAGGAACAACATGACACACCGACTTCCTCCGCGTTTTGGCGTGCGAGTGCAAATGCTGTTGAAGCAGCAGTGGATTTGTCGGAACCGTCGACATTTGAAGCAGCAGTGACTGGCCCGGATCAAGTGCACTGGCGTAAGGCAACTCATGCGGAGCTCGATTCGATGCGACTTCGTGGAGTGTTTCGTGCAGCCAAGTTGCCCAATGGACAACGTGCCAATGGTACCAAGTGGGTCTTCAAGATCAAACGCAAAGCAGACGAATCCATCGAGAAGTACAAGGCACGTCTCGTGGCAAAGGGCTTTCGCCAGAAGTATAGAATCGACTACACCGAGACGTTTTCGCCCGTGGTCAAGTATGTGACCTTACGCATAGTCATTGCGGTTGCCAAGCACTTTGGATGGACACTTGACCAACTCGATGTGGTGACTGCCTTTCTTTATGGTGTGATGAAGGAGCAAGTGTTTTGCGTGATTCCTGAAGGTGTTAAGATGGAAGGTGATTTGACTGTCTCGAGTTGGTGAAGGCAATCTACGGTCTCAAGCAAGCTTCTCGTGTATGGAACGAGACCTTCGACGAGTTCATACGCTCGATTGGATTTCAAGTGTCAGGCTTCGACCCATGTCTCTACATCATGACTTCGGAAGGCCATTGTGTTTTTGTGCTGGTCTACGTGGACGATGTGCTGGTGACTGGGAGCTCGACGGAACTCATTGCGTGTACCAAGAGCGACCTCAAGACGCGCTTCGAGATGACCGACAGTGGCAAGTGTGCTTTTGTTCTTGGGATCGAGTTATTGGACGGTGAAGATGGCAGCGTGACTATGTGTCAGCGCCGTTATGTCGACGATGTCCTCAAGCGCTTTGGAATGGATGAGTGCAAGGCTGTGTCAAGTCCAGTGGACATGAGCTCTCGACTCGTTTCAAGCAATGCAGCTACCAAGGTCAATGTTCCGTTCCGTGAAGCAGTTGGTGCTTTGATGCATCTGACTACTGCGACGCGCCCGTACATTGCATATGCTGTGGGCTATGGTGTCACTGTTCATGGAGAATCCTCAAGACGATCACTGGATTGCAGTCAAGCGCATATTTCGCTATCTACAAGGCACTAAGACGCATGGAATATGCTACAAGCCTGGTGACAAGATCGACTTTCGTGGATATTCGGATGCAGACTGGGCTGGCGACATCGCTGACCGCAAGTCAACTTCCGGATACACGTTCATGCTATTGGGTGCGCCAGTGAGCTGGGGCAGCAAGAAACAACCAAGTGTTTCGCTGTCAACGAGTGAAGCAGAACACATTGCGCTCAGTTTGGCAATCCAAGAAGGCAAGTGGATTCATCGTTTGCTGTGTGAGATCATGACAGCTGCCAACAAGGACGGACCCGAGCTGATGATCTTGAAGACAATCAATCGTGCATCAAGATGACGAAGAATCCTGTCAACCATGGCCGTGCCAAGCACATCGACATCAAGTACCATCACATCCGTGATGAGGTCAAGCGCGGCGAAGTCAAGCTCAAGTACTGTGAGACTACGGTGATGTTAGCAGACATCATGACCAAGGGACTTCACGGACCGCGTCACAAGGAGATGACAGAGGCGCTTGGCATCCGCACGTGTTCGCATTGAGGGGGGGTATTGAGGGTAACCGGTACAATCCGAACCTAGCGCGTAGTTCTTACGAGATAGTTTTTACATCGGTAATTACCTCAGAGATGATTAGACGCGTAGGATGATTGGACGCGTGTAAATCAGGTTGATTAGATGCACCATGTGATTGGATGCAGTCTAGGGTAGGCAGAAGTTAAGACCTATAAATCAATCACTTTCGAATCCTCCCTCAAGTGAGCAAGTGTTCTCTGCTTCGTTCTCTCCGGTCTCTCCGCTTCGTTTTCTCTTCGCCTCGCGCTCAAGTTATAACAGTGTTCACGTGGAAAAATGACGAACAGTCCGTTTCGTCATACCTCACGGAGTACAGTCAAAACAAGTCAACCACTTGAGATTGTTCATACTGATCTCATGGGTCCGATGAACCCGAAATCAAAGGGTGGTGCCCTTTATGTCCTCACATTTATCGACGACTATAGCCGATTCGTCTATGTGTACTTACTCGCTGCGAAGTCACAAGTGTTTGAACGTTTTCAGGACTTTCGCGTGATGGTGGAGACACAAACGGATCGCAAGATCAAGTGCATCAGAAGTGACAATGGTGGTGAGTTTACAAGTTACCGGTTCAACAAGTACTGTGTGAATCATGGCATCATACACCAAACAAGCGTGCCGTATACTCCACAGCAAAATGGATTGGCTGAGAGAATGAATAGAACGCTTGCTGAAATGGCACGTTCGATGTTGAGCCATATGGAGGTGGATAGAATGTGGTGGGGTGAAGCTGTTATGACAGCTGCGCACACACTAAACCGAATTCCGAACACAGCGCGTCCCAACAAGAGTCCATTTGAAGTGATGAACGGTTCGAAACCTGACTTAAGTTACTTTCGTGTATTTGGATCTACTGGTTATACACGAGTAGCGGATTGCAAGCGGACCAAATGGGACAACAAGACTAACATTATTTTGTGGTGTCGAGTTTATAAAGAAACATCCTTCAACGACTTTGTGGCCTGTGAAAGGACACAGTCACAAATACCGTACCTGTTTGCGCCCGAGAGAAGGGGTCAGTAGTAGACAATGTTGGTCATGTCAGGGTTTCAACGAACACGCTAGCAGGATCATGATTACCGATCAACGGGAATATGGTAGCAGAGGAGTGAGCACTTTGTCAACTTGTCGTACTGTTGGTACTTCTCACATTGTTGCAATGCACATTCATCAAGCTCCGAGAGAGGGAACAGTATTCAAAATGCACGGCGGCCTTCACTCAGATGCGTGCTCGTTATTACCGAGCATGAAATGAATGTGCGTGTCCATTCTAGGTCGGTCCACTTTGCTTATCGCGAGTTTTGTCGTTACGGCAAATTATGAGCTGCAAAGCTGCTAGCATTCCTACTTCTTTACCCTGCTGACTTGGTTGTCGAAAATGGTGTCAGGATAGATAGCAAAGAAGCTGCCAAGGGATTTCGGCAGCAACACGACCCGGTAAAGTGTTTCGTATGCGATTGCTGCAAGAGTTCGTGACTACACCGACGTTGTAGGTCAACGATGGCGTTGGCGATAATTGAAACGTTGACTAAAAGAGAGGCCTTTGTCATTAGCCAAATTCCTGATTACAACATATCAAGCACGCAGCAAAGAAAACTTTTGAGCTACCACGTCAAAGAGCTCGCGGACTTTTGTGAACATACCAAGACAATCCTCCATGTGTTAAGATCGAAAGCGGCGTGTCTGTCGCTATACGCACTGACAGGTTCCACTGACTACAGGTCTGAAATATTCGCGATCAGCAAGGCCAATATGCAATAGCGTAGTCTGCGTATCTTCTCGGAAACAGGGGGCTCAAAGTGACATAATCAGAGTAGAAATGAATATTCCCTGCATCTCAATGACATTCTCGCGTGGAGGTATTCTATCGTGGAGGTATTGTCGTGTTTGAGTTGTTGCCCGGTGTAGCATTACAGATGTCTGTTTTCTAAACAAAGCGACAGTTGCGTCGGACAGCCCGGAACTATTGGTGGCGTTAGGGTTTCTCCCAATTTGCTGAAAATCGGACCAATTGGGGCGTTCGCCATTGGTTGGCTGAACGAAGTCGTGGGTTCACTATTTGCAGTTGGTGTCAACACTGTAGCAACTAGATACACAAGGCATGTCGTTTCGGGGTGGACGCGGTGGCTTCCGCGGAGGACGTGGGGGCGGTCGTGGTGGTAGCTTCGGTGGTCGTGGTGGTGGTCGTGGTGGTTTTCGTGAACCTGAAGGCCCTCCTGCTTTTGTTGTTGGTACGTCGTTCACTAGAAAACTGTACCTGGATGTACATGGTCGAGTCAATTAATTCACGCTCGTTCGATTGCAATCATAGAGTTGGGTTCATTCATGCACGCGTGCGAGAACGAGATGGTGTACAAGAGCACGAACGATAAAGTGCCATACTTCAACGCTGGTGCTTTCTTGGAAAACAAGACGCGCATTGGCAAAGTGGACGAGATCCTCGGCTCGATCAACGAGGTCATGTTTACAGTCAAGCCCGACTCGGGCGTGTCAGCGACGTCGTTCCAGAATGGAGACAAGGTGTTCATTAGCCCGGACAAACTACTTCCATTAAGTCGATTTACTGAAAAGTCAAGCTCAAAGTCAGCAGGTGCTGGACGGGGCGGTGGTCGTGGAGGGGGACGTGGTGGACGAGGTGGCGGTCGCAGCGCAGGTCGTGGCGGCTTTGCCAGTCGTGGTGGTGGTCGTGGTGGATTCGGTGGACGAGGTGGTGGATTTAGTGGACGGGGCGGTGGTTTTGGTGGACGTGGTGGAGGTCGTAGCGGCGGGCGAGGCTTTGGAGGCGGTCGTGGGCGCTTTTAGCGACTCGAACCGCAGCAGCTAAAGTAGATTATGATTGTAAGCTCAGAGTGAAAAGAAGACACGCTTCAATGCTGTTTCAGCATAAGTGTACAAGTTTCGCCTTTTAGACCCTGCTCAGCACGTGTTATGATTAAACAACTTGATAAACAACCTGTCGTCGAGACTACGCTGCCCTTTGCTTTGTGTCACGGGTGTCAAATATCCGTTTATTGATTACTCGCAGCCTCCATCACAGTCGATAAAGCGATGATTTCAGGTCAAAGCGACACCAATCAACGTCGAACAGCATTTGACGGTGGCCTATGTACCAGCAGTAGCAGCAGCTTATACCCGTTCCAGACACTCGAACTGCACGATGCTATTGCCGCGGATGACCTGAGTTAGAATCGTATAAAAACACAGGTACAGAATCAGAAACAACCATCAGAATACCGCCAGCTCTTTTCGTCCAATAAGCGACCGCCTCACTCACCACCATACCAATACGGTTGGACTCAGTCGCTGAGACCTCTTCGACCGTCTCGTCTAGCGTGACGTTCATAAACTGGTCAAACCCTCGCAGCACGCCCGACACCTTGCGATTGCCATTAAGCTTGAGACTCAATCGCTTGTCCATGTATCGCTTCAAGTCTGGCCCCGCTGTTTTGACCATGTTGCTTCCTGATCACGATTACTCCAGTCGGTAGTGTCCACAATGCGTGTGGTGGACACCAATCTGGTGTCTACCACTCGTAGTTTTGCTTTGTTTCAGTACGTTTTTTTTCGTGGGAGACTTTTGTAAAACCTTCTGGAACGCCAGAGTGATGGTCGCTGCGTCCTTTTACACGCTACGGTTCACTTCCTAGAAGCCCTTAAACTACGCAAGTGTCGAGAGAAGCGTCAACGAGCGACGTTTGTGAGCGAATATGAGCAACTTCACGCAAGGACAGGACTGGGAACCAGCTGGCTGGGGCAGTCGCCCGGCTCCGCGCGGCGCGGCCAAGCAGCAAGCACTGAACAGCGCGCGGCGCGCCGGTGACGTTGTGACGGAAACAAAATGTAAGGTTTTTTATTTCCTCGATTGTGATTGGTCGATGAAACAACACATTTGATTTGTAACTTGACATTGACGATGTCAATTTGACACTAGTCGGTGCCGGGACCAACAAGGGCGCACACAGTGGCGCGACCATTAACGCCCGCAAGCTCGAAGAAGACACGGAACATTTTAAGCACGACGTGGTCGACCGCAGTCTCTCCCAGGCGCTCATGAAGGCGCGCATGGCCAAGAAGATGAACCAGAAACAACTGGGGACGCTCATTAACGAGAAGCCGCAGGTCATTGCCGACTATGAGTCGGGACGGGCGATTCCGAACGGACAGATTATCTCGAAACTGAATCGTGCGCTGGGGGTGCAGCTCCCGCGCGGTCAAAAGCCGAAGAAAAGCGCCACGTAGCGAGTGCGTAGGGAGCATCTTGTAGTTCTGTCGTAGGGACGAGAGGCGGGATGGCCACACGCCGCATCGATGATGCAAGCTGCTGGGGTTGTCGGCCGCACGGGTTGGGTTGCGACGATGCTGGTCTTTTTTGATTGGTTAATATAAAAGTAGAACGATCTGGTTGGTGGGGAGTGATGGTAAAAGGTGTTTGTATCCACGTGTCGCCAGCAGTTGCGGTAGTATGTAGGTGAGTGTGGTTGGTTGGCAGGTGCGAAATGGGTACATTCACTTCAACTTGAGCTGCTCGCCTGATGTTTGCGTACACGTGGCTGCGAAGTGCTCAACTTTGTTTGTGTCCAGGGTTTAAGTGAAGGATACATCACATTAGCGCTGTTGATAGCCACGCGTTTGTGACTTCCGTCAACTGCAGTTCTCGTCCGGCCGAAAGCAGTTGACACATTAGTGCACGTTCACCAGTTCTTGCGTTTTGAGTTTGTGGCTGATAGGCTCAGTTGCAAAGGAGTCGACCTTGGCCAGCCACCATTAAGTGGATGGCTTCCAGTCAATCTGGCCACCCGCTCGTCGTATACGAGATGGGGGCTTCAAATGTCGAATGCACCGGTTTGTCCCATGATATGGCGGGGGACAGCTATTGTGTTGTTTTAGTTACTGACCTAAGCGCATACCGACGTGGGCCGATGTGCTGCCATAATGATACACAGCCGTACGACAGCATCGATGGCATTCTAGTCGCAATTCATGTACTACTACGATTGAGGCAAAGCGGCCGTCGCGCTTCAAAGTAGGGCTCGATTCCGACTCGTCTTATTGGACGCTGTCGTTTACAGCAATAACTTTGGAGCGCTCTCGACGTCAAGTTCTAAGCTCTCGATGGCGCGAGAATGTATCAGAGCAACACAATCGACGTGAAATGTTGACTAATGCTTCAGCTGGAAAAAAGTATCTTACAGCGCATGGCGAGATTGCCTACATGTCATCGACACACTTTGTATCAACATGGCTGATTGTATTTAACGAGCGCTATCAATCGAACTTGCCGAGCTCATTGAAAACCAGCAAGCAACTCATCGTGACTTCGTAAGCGCGACCTATATCACCATTGCTTTCAGCATACCACCAAGCCGTCTCAACTGTAGAAGTTGTTGAGTTACAGAGCTATCGATTCTTTCCATTGTTAGTAGAAAAAACACATGTCCTTTTAGAACACTGGCTGGCTGGCTAAGGTTGTTGTCCACGTCGTCACTACCGTCTCCGAAGCCATAGGCTCGAAATGAGGCAGTGTTGCCTGTCTGTATGCATGCAAGTGGTTGTACGTGTTTTTTTGCAGCGTAGCACAAAAGCGACCGATTAACAACGTCTCTCTCATCGGCGTAAATCACAACATAGCTCCGTAACTAACTAGACCAGCAAAGTCAAGCTGCAAAAGCACATACGGCACCAGTGACTGCATGAAATGCGTGAGAGTTAGTATTGAATCGAGCGAAACATCAGAAAACACTTCTTCCTCTACACTTTCTTCGCTTTCTTCTTGTACTGAGGCTTACTCTCCTTGCACAGCAGCCACACGTAGAAACCCGTCATGCCAGCACTATATGCGCCAACAAGGCCCGCAGGAAAAAAAACGTTCGTCTCGACGAAGCGGTTGCCCATGACCACAGCTAGAGGCATCGACACGGCCAGCGAAATGGCCGGCCAGAGCTTGGACGTCACGGGGCTCTGCTTGTACTCATTGTAGCTGCAGTAGCCCACGAAGCTCAGCAACGCACCCGATAGACCACCAGCTACCAGTGACGTGGTGCTGCCGGAGATCGCAAAGCCTGCAAAGCCGCCTACAGTCAGGACGACGCCATACTGTAGCATTAACAAAGTAGATGAATGAATAAATACACACAAAGACCATTCACGTGCGTTGGACAGGAGACAATGTGAGCGTTTGATGCAGGTAGTAAGCACCGGTAAATTTGTATACAATTGGCAAGACATAACTGTCGAAATAACGTGGGAGAAAAACGTCACGTGTGACGAGAACGTACTGGAATCGTGAGGCAAAAGTCGTACATGCTTTGCGTCTATTCTTTTTCTCTTGCGTCTTTTGCGTCGAAAGCACAAGTGACGACTTGATTCCGAACTGACTCGTCCTGGACGGAAGTAATGAATCGACAAAATGCCGTCGTAAATTTAGAAATTTGGAGAACTTCCACACTTCCCGTCTTTCTGCCGCAACTGAATATCTACGAATCACAAAACGCGGCTTTGGAAATCAATTGCGAAGCAAGTCCCTACGATCGAAAGCGGATCTCTCGACTGTCATTATTACTATTCTCATTATTCAATCATCTCTATCATTTTGGTATCTATTCTATTTTCCACGCTAGACGCCATCAAGCTCTTTAGATGTCGCAGAAAGTCTTTTGTACGTGGTCGTGACGATCGGAGGTTCGATCTCGAGTATATTGAAATGAGACTAAAAGACTGACGTTATCATGATCTGCTTCTCGTGCTTCTTTTCCTACTTTGTGACAGGGGCGCTGACCTGCTCGCTGCTGTCGCTCAGTGGGTTCCTCTTTTTATTCCTAGTAGGGGTTCTAATCAAAGTGCAGCCCGAGTATCTCAAAATCAGCAAGAGCGTTGCGAGCTCAGTGTCCATATTTGAGTCCGCGTGTCTGTACGGGACGCTATTTGTCGTGTCCTCCATGATCTATTACAAGGAGACGAGGAAGAACGGGCGTCAGGAGCTCGGTGGGTCGACGCTGGAAGAGCGCCAGAGTTTGCTGCACCAGTGAGAGCACATTGCCGATGTTCATCAGTTTTTTTTATTGGAGTAAACAGCTGCTGATGGTTCTATTGGTGACGAATGTCAGGCCGGTGGTGAGCTACAGCTAAGGACGGCAGGGAGTTCGATTTGTCGGACTCGTCTTGAGCTAGATTCATTCGGACCTTGCGACTGTTGGTAAATGTCAATGCAATTACTGCTTCACTACGCTTCAAGTCTCAAGACATACAGAGACTGCGGACTACTACAATATGTACAGTGCTTGATTCTTGTGTCGCGGACTCCGCTTGTTGATGGAGACAAAGTGTGCTCACTTTGGAACAGGATCATTCACACCGTGAGTAAGCCTGATTGACCATATGACTTCGTTACAACTTCGAGTCGGGTCCGACACGTGACTTTTTCTCCATCATCTTGGACCAGTTCTCCAGCGTCTCCCGAGCCATCACGGGTTTCTTGTACAAATAGTGTCCTCCATCCACAATGAGCACTCCCCCCGACACAAAGTTTCCCACAGGCGACACCAAGTACAGCACTGCAGCAGCAATATCCGTCTTGGCACCAAGTCGACCCACCGGGACGACGCTGACTAAATGGCCCTTCCTCGCTGTCACGTCCCCTTCTCCTCCCAATTTTTCCGTGCCAACCGTATCAGCAATTGGACCAGGAGCTACACCAGTGACACGGATACCGAATTGTCCCCACTCTAACGCAAGGGAGCGGGTCAAGCTGTCCACAGCAGCTTTAGCAGCTGATGCGTGCACTTGGTACCACGTCGCAGGAAGCTGCAATGTAGCCGTTATATTGACGATCCGTCCATCTCCACTGGTTTTTAATGGGTCAAAAGCTGCTCGACTCATATTAAACGTTCCAATAGCGTCGATCTCCATCACCGTCCGAAAAGCATTTGTCGACATTTTCTCGGCCAGGGCCAAAAAGTTTCCAGCTGCACAGTTGACCAAAACATCCAGTTTACCGAACCGAGTGACAATTTGCTGTACAGCAGCTTCTGCGCTCTCGGGAGAGCGCACGTCGCCTTGTATAAGTATACAGGCGTTTTCGGATATACCGCGGTTGCGCAGAATATCCAGCGTGTTTTGAAGCGCGGTCGCGCGTCGACCAAAGACAGCGACTTTGGCACCGTACTCAGCAAGCTTGACAGCAATTTCTTGTCCGATACCTGATCCACCACCTGTAACAAGCGCGACACGTCCAGCGCAGACGTCACGACGAAACACGCGGTCGATATTCGCGGAATCCATGTGGATTTTCTTCAAAGTGTCGATACGATGAATATTACTATACCGAAGAGATGTATCGAGCAGCAAGTCTCGGTCAGAGCTGGATAAAAGATATTGCGATTATCTCGAATATTGTTTTTTGTGCTGGATAATTACGAGGTACAGATGGATAAACAAACGAGAAGGCTGCATTCGAGACTGCCTTTGTGTGTGTGTGTTTGTGTGGTACCGGATTACCGGTAGAATATCTAGACTTTTTGTGGCACCGACAGCCACTAGCCGGAGCTACTTCGGCGCGTAAGACCTCGCGCAAACGTACGTCTAATGCAATCTAAGCACAGTCACTACGGTCTCTGATTTTGACTTACTCTGTGTATATGTGTGCCTGACCTTGCTGCGATTCCAGATGAGCGTCGTTGCTGCCAAGCAGCCGCAAAAGACGTACCGATTCGAGGACAAAAAGCCGTTTTTCAAGCACTTTTATCCAAAAGATGTAGCCATTTTGGCTGCGCGGTCTGCCGCAATGCAGGGTATGATGGTTCTGAACGCGTACATGGCTACATTGGAAATTGAAGTGTCGGACGACGAGGATGGGGAAGAGATTGGGTCAAGTGAAGACGAATTTGAAGACGTGGTCGCTATTATCAAGGCCAAGGGAGAGTTTGTACCGCCTTCGATCGAAGAGTTCAGTCTCGCTAGTGCCAAGTCATTTAGCAAGTCGCTGAGCATCACAACTTGTGTGCGCTCCCTTGAGGAGGTCGCGCTGCGCTACTGCCGTCCGCAGATTGTCAGCAAACTCATTAAAGGTGGGCGGCGCTTTCAGCGTGCAGATTTGTCGCTATTTGATGCGCTTCAAACGAGGTGTGGAGTGCGTGTTCTTTTATTACTTACATGTGTTCGGTGGTATGCGATTGCTATTGACAGACATTAGCAAGTCAGCTATGCGCAAGTATGCACGTACGTCGAGCAAGCTGGCCTCGGCGGCATTGATGGTCAAAACTGGAATGCGTGCCAATGTGTTGAGTCACGTTGCCATCTTCTTGGTTGAAGAGGTGCGTTACATACCCTTCAGATGGTACAATGTTGTCGCATTCGTTCAATTTGCTGATGCTCAATGTGATGTGGCTTCGAATGTTATGTGACTTGATGTGGTGTTCAAACAGACTCAGCAGCTCGTCTTCATCCTTTACCGACGCTTTGTGTCGAGAAATAATGGATACAGATCCAAGAAGAGTTTGCGCTCGATTGAGGAGGGCGTTCAGAGCACTGAAAGTGACAACGAGGAGGACACGCTGGCGACTTTTATGTCCAGCACGGGTCTCAATGCTTCTCGGTCGGCGCTTGCAATCATCACAGGAGGGATTGGTGCGGCCGTCGGCACAGCAGTGCGACCAGGTGTTGGCACGATGATTGGGGGTACACTGGGTGACTCCATCGCGTACGTACTGTTCTAGATCGAGACGAGATGCAAGGCCAAGTAAGATTTACAATGGACGACGACTAGCTGCGACATGACTGCTATCATAGACTGCAGTTGCGATCGAGGTATCGTTGCTGGTAGTCAGAGTTCAGAAGGCTTGCTTAGAATCAGGTAGTCAGCATGACAAAACCAAGTGAGCGAGACCTACTCGCGTTACTTCATGTCGTTGTCCCTCTAAATCTCATCCTGTCTAAAAACTGAACGATATCGGGTCCGACCTTCTTTTCGAACTGAATACTGTCCTTCGTTCCGACCAAACCTGCCGAAGTACCCACAATATGCGTTTTCGCAATGAAAATCGCCTCAAAACGTCACACTCCGACTATCAGATTAACGAATCCATCACATCCAACAGGATTCCAGCCACCGTAAACAAACAACTCGTCTACCATCTCGAGCCAAAGAGCGCTCGCCGTCCTCCAGCCTTTGGACCATGTTTATGGAGACGGTCTCACTGAACGATGACGCGCCTGAACGTCCGTCTTCTACTGTAATGGATGCCGATGCGTTGGAGGCCAAGGTGGTGCAAATAGCTGCAGGGAAGTCACATAAGGGGCCACATAGCGCCGCCGTCTCCGTCTCAGCCAGTCGAGAGAATCAGATAGAAGACGGTCGAGGGTCATTCTCCTCAGATTCTGAGTACAGTCGCGTCAATGGCTCTCGTGTCGAGGGTTTTATTGCAGTGGACGTGGACGGGACTGGCTCAATGGCTCAGGACCGGACCGAAATGAAGGCCAAGCACAAGCAGGAGCTCGTGCTGCCTCCACTGCGTGTATTGACGCCAAAGGTTCTGGATGAAGACCGGGACTATGTGGATGCAACGCTCTTTTCTCCGGAAGTGTCAAGACATGCAATGGAAGTCGCTCATCGTCGGGCGGAAGCTATTGCGAGCGAGGTGAAGGAATTGATAGACGTCGAAGTGGAACTTACTGGCCCTCCAAAGGCAAAACTGTCACCTGCTGAAGCTGTGAGCATCATTAGTGGTGCGTTCGCCAGTTCCATCCAGCGGGCCAAGCAGCTCGTGAAGCCAGGGACGAAGGAATACGATCTCTTGGCCGGGTCATCCCCGTCAGCTACCATGTCAAAGCTTGATGATCTTGACGCAGATGGTGATGGTCTGCAGCTCTCGCCGGAAGCTATGCAAAGCAGTGGAAACCAGTTTTGTAGACAACAGCTACGACCGGCTTTAAAGCGTCTCTCGGCTTACTCGACAGCTGCTGCGCTCGAGCCGGACAAGAAAGTGGTGGGTACTCCAGCTCAGAAGAAGAAAATTATATGGCACGAAGACGTGCTGGATGCTGATGAAGAGTTTTGTGAAGACGACAGTTGTGAACAGGAAATGCGTTCGTTGAAGGGTGACGACGAAGAGGCTGGCCGTACTCCTGGCAGTGGCAGTCCTCGGTCTCAGCTGCTGAACATGAATCCTAAAACTGGTGAGCACGAGACGCCGCAGGGAAGGAAGAAGCGTAAAAAGATCGTTCGATCAATGATGCGACGGTTGACGCCACGTGAGAAGGAGGAGCTGTACCGGCAGCGACCAGACTTGATGATTGTGCCAAATTGGGCGCAGAAGTACCGCGAAGATCTTGCTGGTGAAGACACTACTCGTTGTAACACGGGGCTGCTAGGTCTCATCACCGCGCTTGCTGTGCTACTGCTGGTGTTTGTGTTCTTCATCGTGCGGCAACGGGCTGCTGCCACGGCGACGTAAGCAAGTCGAGAGTCCGTCGGATCCATTAGAAGATCTGGGAAATAGTCTGCTCTTCGTTATGTCCCGCTTCACGTTTGATCCATAGCCGGGAGAGCGCATCGGTGCACTGCGAGCTTCCAATGATAATTACTGGAACGTCAGCGCGATGGCACTCTCTCAGGTCAAGTTCCGTCTCCGCGATTTGGCTCCAACAAGTCTAGCAGTGTCGATTCAAGGTATGTTGGTATTATTCTACCAAGCTTCAGCGTAAGGTGAGGGCGGCCCCCAAGCAAGTACGAACAGAGCGGGATGCCTTCTTTGTATGTTTCCTTCAAAGGGGTTTGATTGATTAAGACGCATTCCTTCCGTCGTCGTAAGAGGGTGACAATCAGCAGCCAATTGGCAAAGCTTCAGATACCGAAGGCCACTGAGAGAGAGCGAGCGAGCCAGCTCCTTCTTGACCCAAGTCCCTCTTTTGCCTTCACCCCTTCCAATCTTCTGTCCCTTGATCCAGCACCCTGTCCTTCAGCTGACATCTAGTGGTGGCTGTAGTCGAATTTGCCGTTCGTGCGCTTCCAGTAGTTGCTCTTCTCCTTGTCCTCCTGCGTCGCCCCGCGCGTGGGAAGAATGCCGCAGATCACCCACGCAGCCCTAGAAGAAGGAAGAGCAGAAAAGAAGAGGAGGGAGTCAGGAGGAAACAGTCACAATACAGAGATGTATGTACCAGAAGAGAGAGGAAGACTGCTGCACGTACACGCCAGCAAGAAGAAAAGGCTGGAAGTGCTCACGCTTGGACTCGTGCAGGATGAACTGGGCGTACGAGAGTTTGTGCCATTTCACGGCCTTCTTGGCTACAGCAGTGGCGGTCATTTTAAGTATCGCGATAGTAATGAACTGACTCGGGAGCTGGTGAGCTTGTGGGGGTGGGGGGTTGTGGCAGTAGGCGACGAGCGGCGGCCACAAAAGCCGGGAGATTCGTACCCTCGTAAAGTCGTTGGATCGGGGATGAGAGGAGTATGCGAAACGAGAGGCCATAGCAGGACTGGCGAGGTCGTGGTGTGTGCACACACTAAATGGAAACACTGAGGATTGTTGAAGTCCGTCAGCACTGGATGTAGGAGTTCGAATAAAGCACTTTTTAGTAGCGGAGACTTGGCGAGGAAATAGACGCATTTCGAGCCAATCGTGTGCCCTGCAGATCACAGGAGGCTCGTCTCTTTTGACGCTGCATTAGGCACCGCGTCGTTCGTATTAGGCTTTCACCCAGCTTTGACATACGAGCTGGGTTGTTCAATCTGTATTGTTGTTACTGTACGTGGAAATGCCCTCAATTACAAGATCTTAATGGAAGCCCTTAGTGAGAGAACCCATGGACGACAAAGAACGGCTGCATCAACCATCTGGACGATTTCAACAAGTTTGTCCGAAGATTTGACCGAAAGAGTCGCGTACGAGTCCATTCATTACAGGGAAATTAAACGGAATCCGATCGCGTCCCACAGGCTACCCAGTAGACACCCACCCACGTCACGCTGCTTGTACTACATCAGCTCAGTAGTCCTCGTCGCCGAACATGTCCATGCCGCCGCCCATGTCCACCTCCTCTTCCTCCTCCACAGCCTTGACTTCTTCCTTGGCCTGCTCACCACCCGCAGCAGCAGCACCAGATGCACCTCCCACCGCCGCTGCAGCTCCTGAAGCAGCTCCGCCCGAGGAGATGAGGTCCAGGATCTTGCCTTCCTTGGACAACAGCGAAGCGAAGAGCGTCGGCCAGTACGGCTCCACCTCGTTGCCGGACGCGGTCACGATCGTGTTGATCGCCTCCGACGTGATCTCGTGCTCGCCGTCAAAGAGCATCATGGACGCGTACGAGACGCACAGCTCATCGTGCTGTTCCTTGCTGATCGTCGTCGCCATTCCGTTCGTTCCCTTTGAATGTTACAGCTTTCGCCAAATGTCAAGAGTTCTAACTACCACAACTGTACGACGTCTCCATATTGGGTGGCGGCGAGCTAGTGCCCGCACAAAGTACGAATTGGACACCACTAGATGATGTGCTGCACATCAACCGACTCAGATACCGCCTTTCGAACGAATTATTCGCTTGACATCTGCGTTGATCGTGTTTCGACGTTTTTATTGTTTTGAAACACATGTGACAACCACCAGCTCTTCAGTTTACTGGATCCAATACGCCCGCGAACATCCGTCGCATTGCAATAATACTTCGTGTCAACTGCCATTATTATGCCCTCCCACTCGAACATTTCGCCATCACGTGATTTTTGAAAAGGGCGCAGAAAGACCGCGGAGGACATGAGCAGCGGCCGTCGTGACGCCCCGCCAGCCGTCAACAAGTGGGCGTCTCGTGTACTAACTAGCCCACTTCATGCTGTCTCGATTTCCGTCCCACAGGGCGCAACAAGCCGTGACATCGCCGCGTTACCCGTGATACAAGAGCCAAATGAAAAGGAGAATTGTCGACCGTTGACTGGTGGTACGTGGAACGACGTCCAGCACGTCACACGAGGTGGTTTGAGCCAGCACTCATGCACAGCAGATGATACGCTGTCTCTCCTGCTTAACAATGAGCCCTCTGCGCCATCTGGAGTGCTGGGAAAACGTCGAAAGTTGACTGAAACGTCGACAGCTTTATTACAAGCGGTGTACGTGTTGGACGAGGACGAGGAGGAGGATGCTACATCCGAAAAAAGGAGACGAGATGCAGTAGCAACGGCAAACGCGGTGATGCACTTTGACGCGCGAGCGTCGGAGCTCCATGGCCACTTTTTGGGTCGACAAGATGCAGAGAAGGAACTAGAGAAAGATGATGACGATGAAGTGGAGACGTTGACGAGAGCTGGCGGTTCGACGCTGTTTGTAAATGACTGTGATCACATGGCACATCTACACTTTGGTACAGTGGCTTATGGTGAGCGGAAGAGCAGACACTTGACGCTGGAAAATGCCAGCGAAGTGGGCAACGCACGCGTCAAGTACGACGGGTATACGATGATCGAGGGGAAAGTGACGACGTCTGCTGCTGACGCAGCTCGGAAAAAGAAGAGGAGATTCAAGTGTGATCTGGATGTTTGCGTGGTCGACGCGCTCAAGTCGGTAATGCTGCGCGTGACGTTTGAACCGCGGTCGGTGGATGTGGGGCACCACATCACGGCTATGCTCAAGTTCACTGTCAACGATCAACTTGGACTGCAATGCAGAGCGACAGGTGCAGTGACGCCGCGTGTCCCGAAGCTGTTGAGGCTTGAAGGTATGCGTTCTTCGTTGAAGCCAGCTGGTACTGTCGTCGAAGCAGTCAATAATAACAGACAGGTAAGCAGCAGGACGTTGTCAGAACGCGTACGTAAAGTGTATACGGTTTCGAGTGCCTTGACACTTAGCGACCTTGAACCGGAACGAGCGCCTGTGGTCAAGACAAAGCAGAACGTGGGAAACAAACGGCATTCGTCGGTGGTAATCGACTTCTCGCATCTTCAAGATCGACCCAAGCGACGGAAAAGCAAGCTACGAAAGAGTGCGCAAAAGATATTTTCGCCCTCGAAAATTAGTGGCGTTGCTCAGGATCCGATCTTGGTGAAGAAGCCTTTTTCTGGCTCGTGGTGGAAACAGCGCCAGGAAGCCTATGACGAGAATTGGATGGCGAAACAGATTGATGGTTTCACGAAATGGTTGAACTACGTGCTGCTAGATGGTAGTGCCTTATGCTCGAGTGGAGGCGACGAACGGAGTGATGTGGAGGAGCACGTCACGAGGACGAAGAGCAAGCTAGATTACGCATCGTTGCGCGTGCTCTCGCAAAAGCGGATGGAGTCAAAGTGGGTACAAGCCGCAGTCGATTTATACCAGCGTCCAAGCATGAACGATGTTCTTTTCAATTTGCAGGATGAGATCGGTAGTCAAAGACTGATGTTTCGCGCGGATCGCCCCGTGTACGCCGATGTTGGTTTGCAAGAGGAGCTTATCAGTTTACTGAATAACTACCATCCGGTGTGGCTCGGCTTGGGTTTGTATGTCGTGCTTGGAAACCAAGTCATGAGACAGGAAAGTTGCTCGTTGCGAATGATATTCCGTGCTTATCGTGCAGACTCAACGGTTTCATCGAAGAATGGCTTGGAATCGAATCAAAAGATGCCTCATGTCTTACGCCGGATAATCTTGAAACACTTGGTCAAAGACTCGCACGTTGCCGAGAATTATCGATTGGTGCAAAATTTGATGGCACCTTTAGACGGCTCCGCTGCGGATCGCCATGACGGCGGCAATGCGTTTATCAACACGAGAAAGAACGTTAACGGTCGGGAATACTTTGACTCGCTGACCCAGTCGTTTATGCTCAAGTTTTTTATGCTGGTGTTTTTTCTGGATCGCGCGATTGAGCAGAAGGGTCACAAGTTTGCGCATTTTCCTTGTCTATTCCGAATTGCGCGTGTTACTAAAACGACCGTACCCTCTCGGACGAAGAGTGATGAGAATAACAAGCAACTAAACAACACCAACGGGGGTGATGGAAAAGTGTGGGTGAAAAATTCGCAGACGTTTTTGACAGAGTTTTGCCGACTCTTTTTGGCAAGCGAGGGTCGCGTTGATAAGCATTTGAAACGGCTGGGCTACACGTTGAATCACGAGCAGACCGCGTTAGATGAGATCGATCTGGAAGTCAGGAACTTAGAAACCGATTTGCGCGACGGTATCCGACTAGCAAAGCTAATGGAAGCGCTTACGGCGCCTGTATCTTCATCTGCAGACCAGGGCGGGAAGAATGTTCCCAAGCCGAGGGGCTTGTCAACGTTTTTGCGCGTACCGGCTTTGTCACGCTTGCAAAAGGTGCACAATGTCGAGATTTGCCTGCATTTCTTACGAGACAAATGTGGTGCGAGTGTACTGGATAACCTTAGAAGTAGCAGCTGGGCAGATAAAAAACGCATGACTGCCGGACGTGTCCGTGTGTCTTCGTCCGGGTTCGCTGGCTTGCAGACCAAAGTTGATGAGAAGATGGTGGAAAATCTTGCCAAAGATATCGTAAACGGACATCGCGAGAAGACGTTGGCATTGCTTCGGAAGCTAATCAGCTCGTTCCAGCTGCGAGCCCTCGTGGATGCCGAGACAATGAGACGGGAGATATCGAATGTTGTCAAGAGAATGAGTTTCCGAGCGAAAGACTTCTTCGATCAGCAGTGTAAGAACGTACCGCTTATTTACGATGATGAACACGAGTGCTATAGTTTATTGCTGGAATGGTGTCGTGCTGTGTGTGCGAACTATGACGTTGGTGTGAACGATTTTTCCGGATCGTTTGCTGACGGTAAAGCGCTTTGCTACTTGCTACACTACTATCATCCGATGCTTTTATCAAGATCCGACATACTGCCGACGACAAATGACTTACATGATGGAGATACTTTTCAGGTGAGTGAAAGGGTCCTTCTGTCGAACGAACAACAGCACTTTGCTATTGTCAACGATCGCATCAGGATGCTCGGGGAGGTCCCAGTGCTCATGCCTCAACAGTACAATACAAAGAACCCGCCTGAGGAGAAGATGACAGTAACATTCGTTTGCTACTTGCAGTCGCGCCTGATGGACTCGTACAACGAAATTCATGCTGCTTTCAGTTTGAAACGGTGGTGGAAGAGCCCATTGATTCGACTGCGAATGCATCGTAAGAAAAACTTGAATGCACGCATTATCCAGCGGTTCTGGTACACTTCCAGTCAGAAACGATTAGCAGTCCGTCAGTGCCGTAAACTCTTACGAGCAGCATACCTCGTAAAGAGCGCAGTACTATCGAGGGTGGTCAGGAGGCACTTCCTTCGACTCCGGAAGGCTGCGATAAAAATCCAGATGCTCTTCCGTGCTCACCAACAGGTGCGCGTTCATGGGAATTTACTTCACGCCGCCCAAGCAATCCAGCGGTTTTGGCGGAATCAACTTCAATGGAGACATGAGAAGAGAATGCAGATTATGCAGCGCAAGGTCACACAGCGTGAGCTCGTGAAGGCCAGCTGTGCCACTATCGAGCGGATGTGGCTGCAGTATTTGTCCAGAGAGGGAGCTCGTCTTGTGCGACAACAAACGATCGTTGACCGGCACGTAGCGGTTTCTCGCATTCAATTTGCTTATCGGCAAAGCCGTTTGCGTGCAGCGGCACAGATACGCCGTATGCAGGCATGGCGACAACACCATCACGCAGCATATGTCATTCAAACGGCATGGGTTGCCTTCGTACGCCATCGAGAAGAGAGCCAGAGGGTTCTTGCGCTGCAGCGTTTTGAACAGTTGATGGAAGAGAAGAAATGGCAGCAGCGGCAGATCACACTGAGACGTAAAGTCGAGACACGTGCTGCCGTGTGCGTCCAGAAACGTTTCCGCCAGTTTGTGTTTCGGAAACGGGAAGCGGTCGCAACGAAGCTTGCAAGCACATTTCGCGGTATGAAGCAGAAATGGCAATTTCAAGCAAAAAAGCATGCTGCAGTGGTGCTTCAGCACAACGTTCGCATATGGCGACGAAGGCGGCAGCTGTCAGCGCTGGTGCAGTTCTACAGCATGCTGGAGACTTACCGGCAACTGAAAGTAAATGAGGAGCAACGACGCATTCTGCAGATTCAGGAACTAAAGTCCAAGACAGAGTCGCGGGCAGTGCGCTGCATCCAATTTGCCTACCGCATGTATCGGTTTCAGAAACGATTGTTTGCCGCAACAAGAATTGAAAGTGTAGTGCGAGCGTGGTTAGCAAGCCATCGGTACTCTCGTCTCCGTGCAAGTGCATGCCTACTTCAGAAAAACGTCCGCATATGGCGCCGCCGAAAACAGGTCCAGGTGTTGCTGAGGTTTCAAGGCTTGCTCTTGCGATACCGGCGCATGCAGCGAGACGCAGAAGAACAGCAAGAACGTGTCCGTCGAAAGCGTCTTCAACGCATACAGGAAACCGTGAAGCATCGTGCAGCGTGTCGTATCCAGTCGGCCTATCGCTGGTATACCTTTCACAAACGGGTGCTTGCAGCTATTCTCATTCAAGCAGTTTTCCGTGGGTTTAAAGAGAAGCAGCAATATGCCACCATTCGTGTTAGTGTGGCGATGATGCAGCGCTCGGTCCGTCATTGGATGGCGGTGACGCGTTTTCGCCGAGCATTGGGTCTACATCGTGCATCCGTGAGCATTCAAAGGTGTGCTCGTGGGTGGATTTCACGCCGTTGTCGCTTCAGCTTCTACACCTTGCAGACGCAGCTGAAGCGGCTGTGTGTGTTGATGTCGTGTTGGCGGATTGAGTACTGGTACGCGAACCGCATGCTGAAGTACCGTAAAAAGCGCATGCTGGTGGTGCGATCTCACTGGACGCGATTCCGAACCAGCATTGTACAGAAGCGTGTAGCTGATGCAAACAAAATCGGAAAATGCTGGCGATCGTCTTGCTTTCGGAGTTTCATCAAAGCTCGAATTCAGGAAAGGCAGCAGATGGTTGATGCGGCTCAACGTATTCAAATATGGTGGCTGGAACTCTGTTGCAAGTGGGTGCAGCGTTTGCGTTATGAAGAGTTGCAGCAACAGCGCGAGATGGAAGCGATAGCACTAGCCATGGCCAAAGTCCGTGCTGAGCGTATCGTGGTGTCGTGGCTATATGATAAGGTAATATTACCCAACCGCGAGCGTAAGTTCCATCTCGACGCAGTGCAAAAGATTCAAGCGTGGTGGCGTGGAATGCTCGTACGCTTGCATCACAGCACACTTGAGATCACTTGGCATCGCAAGAGACTTTCAGCTATACAGCTAGTCGGATCAGGGCCTCACGGCGGGGTCATCACGTTGTCGAAGGGTCCTCAAGAATTGGAGGTCAAGTCTTGTGGAGGAAGGAGTGTTCCGACAGAACAGCCACAGACGTTAGGCTCACGACTTGATACGGCACTACACATGCTACTTCACGGAAAGCGACTACAGGACATGCTGTTTGCAAGCCACACCATCGAAGTGTGCACACGGTATTCGCGTGAATGCTGCCACAAGTGCGTTCAACTACAAATCTCGTCGACTATTTTTGCAGCGATTCGAGGTTTAAATCGCAGCCGTCCGCACGTGGAGCTACTGCATCAGCTACTGCTGGTCTTGAAAAACTTGACAGTGTATCGGCGGTCAACTGACAAGGGCAAACCAGTGCGAGTGGTTGCTACTGATGAGGATAAGAACCGACTTGACGTAGATCTGCGCGCTTTGGACACGCTGGTGGACTTGCTGCACATTCATCGGGACATGCACCACGTTTTCGTGCTCTCAGCGGAAGTCATCGCGTACTATTTCAGGGCGCTGAAACCGCTCGTAGGAAAAAACACCGGAGTCCAAGAGAGTTGGCATGAAGCTGAGAAGCGTCTGGGTGGTTTGCAGGAGCTGTTGTCAAGAAAGCTGGCGCTGTATACCGCAACGGCCTCGTTTCGACGCGTGAACCAACTTCCTGAGAAGAATAGTGCAAACAGTCTGATGAGAAAAATGAACCCGAAGACAGCTGTATCAATCATGCAGCAGCTCGTCGTACTGCTATAACAGCGAAGGTGCGGGAGAAACCCACAGAGTATGCATGTGAACGTAGTAATAAAAGCGAGTGTGCACTATCTATTCGTTTTTTGCAACAAAAGCGTACGTTCATATCCGGACCATTGACTTTTTCATACGACGAACGCTCCTTTGCAAAGTAAGCTTTTCTATGGAGCAGCTTTCGCTGAAAGTAGGAGAGCATATGAACCTGTCATATTCATGCCGATATGGGATTCGCATGGACCATCTTGGTAGCGTCAAATGTCAGAAAAAGCACGGCGGCGTTTGGGAAAGTATTCTCATTTACACAAGTATCATCGTTCGTATTCGAGCACCTGTGCAAAGAAGTCTCTACACAGCAGAACCACTAGACGTTACGGTATTGACCGTGTAGACCCGTAGTGCTATCTCAGTCCGTGTTGAACTAGCCGATGGGATCGTTTGCAGGCTCATAAGAATCGAGTTCGAACCTTTAAGCAGATTTCCAAAAGACGATGACGATCTGCTGATGGCAGAACTCAAGGTTCTACGGTGCAATACAGCACGAAAGTCGAACCTCATCGTGAGTTCAAATGCCTTGAAGTGTGAATCTTGAGAGCTGTGAGAGCAACGACATGCTTAACAATCCTCTGGCTAAGTTTTCATGGCGTCACCTAATTGTCAACCAACTGCCAGGCGATGATGTTACTACCACGACCGATCTTTTGCTCGAAGTTAAGTGTCCAGAAACCACAAGAGTCACATCTTAGCTAACAATTGGCTAGAGTCCAGTAGTCTTGCAGTACTATCGTGGACGAATGGACGTCAGCGACGTAATGGTCTTGCGCTTTACAGCTTCTTTTACTCGGCGTGTTATTCTAAACAACGGACAAATGCCTGGAAAGAAATGATAAGCGCGCTTTTGCCCACAATTTTTACCACGCATTTTGCGCAGTCAAAGATGTTATTTGCAACGACTTTGGATGGAATTGGGATGTGGAAATGTTTTCCAGTGATGGTCAAGCCGTTGGCACGTGAGACCGAAAGTTACCAGACGTTTGTAACTATCGTTGTCTGAGATACGACCACAAGCATTAACTCAAGTGGGTTCGGCACCTTTGCGCTTTCGGCTCAGTCAAATCTCGAGCTACCGTCGCCTTCGGCACTCCTGCATTCTAGAGATAAATCTTCTCCAAGATTTTGATGAAGAGTAAAACCGTTCTCAGTCGAATCTGGACGATGTTGGTAGTCTCGAACAAGACCCGCACTACCAACGTACAATTCACCCGGACGTTCGATGGAACAAGGTGCTTCTGTGGATCCAGCACAATCACCGGATGACCGTCAATCGCTTTTCCAATAGGAACGCTTTTATTCGTGGTGAATACTCATGTACTTTAGTCCCGGCAACCGAGGCAGCTGGAAAGCAGTGGATACGATAAACGACTCGACTGGCCCGCACTCATTGCCGAGACACGTCATGGGTCTTTTGGTGCTTTATCCGGACGCTCAGTGTATACCATGGCGCAGGTGTCCTGTAATTACGAGCAACTGCTACAGATTGCTCCTCCTTGAAGGTCAGATGCACGTTTCCCGCGGAAAGTAAGTGGAATGAAAGCCAAGGCATGTATGCGACTGACTAGCTGAGCAACAAGACGTCTTGTCCGACTCTCTGTAACATGGAGCTAGAAGTGGCCATATACTACTCGGCACCTACTAAATGTCAACGCAGCAAGGACAATCGCCGACCGCATAAAGGAAAGGGTGAGGCTACAACACAATGGTATGGCTTTGTGACATTGTCGTAGGGAATCACTCGCACAAATCAATGTAATCCTCGTTTGAAGAGATGACGGGACGTCAACAAGTTCACGATGCGTGCTGATATCTTGAGCAGCTACGCTAACTTGCTCCAATTTCAGATTCTTCGCACCTGGTAGATCTTCTTCATACAGAGGATCGTGCTCGTCCTACATCGCCGCTAATCGTTCATCTATGTAGGGCCTAAGATCGACCCACGGCTTTTTTATGAATCAGTTTCGTTATGACTGTGGATTCAGCGAGCGTTGTCAAGTCCTTCTTGGTCAGCTGTGCAAACGCGTATTCATACTGCCTACACTTCTCCTCGTTAGCTTGGCAAATCGATAGAGGTACGTTTACATCAGAGATAAGACAAGCAGCAAACAGGCGACTTTATTCGATGATAGTCCTTTGCACATCCAAGAGTCGAAGCTATCAAAAGTACCAACGTCTGACGTCTAAATGAGACCTTCCAGTTAGATGTCTTCGCGCTTTTGAATCGCCCAACAAGGATGTCTAATGCAGCAGTGGACGGGCCAGCACTAGCGGATGCCGTTGGTGGCTCTTGTTCGGTTCGCTTGATGCTTGAAACTGCCTGGCCAATCGTTAGGAACCATGATGCGAAGTGATACTACTTGTTGGCAATACCAGCCCCTCTAGTCGATTTACAGAAGATTCAACCGAGCATCTTCATTCCAGGCTCCCGATACACGTATATTCATCCAGAAGCCTGTCCGGTTGATGCCGATCATGACAAATACGCGCATCACACCACATGTTATTAATTACATCGGTCGATGCTAACATACTTCCACATACGTTCGATGTTGTCGGGCGAAGGTTAGCGTACTGCTGACATCCCGTCTAGACTGACCGGCCGACCCGTGTGCTCTCTAAGCACAGTAGGCGTAGTTGCAACGCACGCAGCTCAGGCGGACTGAATACCAATGGCACAGCATCTCATATTTACTTGCCTTGCGTCTCAGATGTGGTTTCCAAGATGTCGACATCGACAGCATACAAGTCATGTCGACAATAAGCTTGGCGATGTGTTGCACAGCAGTTGTTAAAAACTGACATGAAACGTCTGCAATGTTTTTATCGATGGTATCGTTGGTGGCTGTAGTGTTGTTCACGAGCACGATCTTACGTTTGACGAAGGACTGTGCTTCTACTTAACGAATGGTTTATGACTCTTGCCTGGTTCAGTTTTGCTTACTATTCCAGCCAAGACTTAAGAGAGGATGCCTATCGACTTTTCACGAGACTTGGCCAACATCGACACCTCAATCGCTGTTTTCTAGCTGTGTCGAGTCATCAGCGAGAAGATCATTTCCATCTTGCAGCTCACACAACCCCCACACGATGGCTCTATCTTTAGCTTAACACTGGGTCTTGCACATAGTCCGTCGAGTCGAGTGACCAAAGAGCAGACAGAACCGATTACAAGAGGGATGCGTCGATTATTGGGCGACTGGGTAGCGCACACAATCTTTCGGGGTCAACGGTGCCATATTCACAACGTACGACATTTGTGACACGCCTGTACCGTCTTCGACGCTGATAGAAGCAAGTACGACGCAGAGATGCATCTGTCGTCAGCACAAGCGATACAAATGAGGCATGAAACACGACAAAGGTAAATGAGAACAGTGGAGACTTCTTTTCACTTAAGGGCTCGTTAGCTACACTTTGTACGGAGAATAATTCGATACTAGAATCACGCAGCACCGAAGAGTAGTGCGAAGACCGCGTCCGTGAAGATCACCACGTATTCCTGTGTGAACGACTGTGATGAAGCGTGCTGTTATTCCGTCGTTTGTCGCGCCAGTTGAAGAAACTCCTTTGCGCAAGCATCCGAGACCTAGCAGTCGATCACGGCTCTGACAACATCCCGCACAGTTTTTGGCAGCACGTATTGACGCCCTCCGTTTTTAAGAAAAAATTCGCTGTAGACCCCTTGCAGTAATTCACGCAATAATGCCACGCATCTATCTGGGTTTGGGTTGCGCGGCATTTAGGCCCATCGCATGGATACGAGTCCACATCCGAGGCGGCGATCATCGCCGCCATGATCAGGAACGTGGTGGCTTTCAGGTTCATGGTCGATAAGGTTCAAGTCCGGAAGAAAGTCGAGTTGCCTTTCACTTGGCTTGGCAAAAGCAAGAATGACAGTGGCGAGGCAGCGGTCAAGAATCAAGAGCGCCGAACGTGCCGCGGAGATCCGGTGATAGGGCGGGGCGTCAGAACAAGCCACACAGATTGAAGATGGGGCACCATCGCGCGTGCGCATTTCTGCATCATCCAAACCAGGTTCAGGTCCGCGGGTGGTAATCGACTGGCTCTAATCACTTGGTCTCGAGCTCGCTCCTATCTATGACTCTTTGACTTCATACCCCTTGTATTTGGTTCGAGTCTCTTTGTGACCAACCCGAGCCTACACTAGCAAGTCGACTCATTTCATTGCTAAAAGCAGATACATCTTCCAATTTTATGCATGCAGCTCTGATCTGATCTGTCCCAACTGGGTTCAACAGTCCCGCTCCTGTCCCATCTGGACCAGCTAGCTGGAGGATACCTAAGCCCTCGTTTATTCGTATCTGGCCAGGCAGAATTTTCGGACGCGCCCGGACGCATCGTCCACGACGCGATGAAGAACCTTATAAAAGTCTCGGTTCGTCATTCAAAAACGAAGCAGAAGTAGCGAATGAGTAGTACGATCGAGAGCCTTCGGATCGACTGCCTCGTTCAATAGGAGTATTGTCACATCACAGCAAATGTCAGCCAGCCCGCCAGAATTTTAGCACTCACAAAGGACGAATCTATAACACAGCGGCAAGTGACGGGTTCAGTTTGCGTCAATACACCGCATCCCCAATGTTGACAAACACGGTCAAGAATGGACAGCACTGAAACCTTGTCGTTGGTCGAGCTAATGCGTGGCGTGCGCGAACTCACATCCATTCTGCTCAAGTACACACAGACCGATTTGCATGTGCGCGCTACTGCCGTTGTGGAGAGCTACGTAAGGCACGTGCGGAAAATGCAAGTAATTCGCTTGAAGTTGCCGCTGACCATTTCTATGCTCGAAAGATCGGGGTGGATATCCGGTGTCTTGCACAGCATCAGCTCTTCTCGTGCGACAGGTTTCGGGCGCAGGTCCTCTACCGACCACGAAGAGTGGCACGTGTACCCACGGGAAACCAGGGTGCTACTTAGCAGTGAGACGGTACTACGGTCTATGGAATGGGTCATTGGTTTCCGGTCACGCCATTGATCACAAGAAACATTACCGCACGCTAAATTTTTGACGATGACGACGGCGTGAACTGTGAGACACGCGTCTGCATTTAAACTAATCGGAAAAGAGAGCTGCCACATGGTCCCGGAAGAAAGGGCGGGGGTGGTGGCTACGTCAGATCTTACGCGGCTACGTCAGATGTTACTCGGCAACTGGATAGATCTTGCTCAGCTACTGGATAGGGTAATACAGTAGCTAATTACAGCCCTCTACGAGCGAGTCGAGCATGACTCGTATCCGAGATGTCCTACCTCGACTTTTGGTACAGACGCGTTTGTCTCTCTGCTAGAAGTTCAAGCGAACGTATTCGGTGCGCATAGCCCGCCCCGCATCCTCATCCACATCGAGACCACTTTGATAAACGGAACAACACTTCAGCCAGTGTTTTCATTCGCTCACTGTTGAGCTCACAGTGTATGTAGATGCTTAGCAGCGGTAGTAGCTCGTGTGGTAGACGGATCGGGAGTACGTGGACGGCCACAAGCTCATACGTCCTTTTAACCTGGACATTAGCAATGAAAACTATTACCAACGTGTCCGTTGACGTAGAAAGACTACTCCGCGACCGAACGGAGTAATTCGGTGTCCAGTGCAACACGTTCTTTAGAATAGGCGAGAGCGCAGGTTTGACTGTAGGCGCAACTAACGATCATCACGTCTCTTGTGACTAGTACTTTTCTTGACAACGTAAGCGTTGACAACACAAGCAGAACATGTTACCATCCGTGTGTCAACAAGGCGAGCGAGGAGAGGGTCGCCCACGAGTCTGGTGGACGGGCCGATCTGAAGACAACGAGCAGGCAGAGGGGTCACTTTTTACGTGCATGTGCCCAGACCAGGTGAGTCCTGTAGGTCAATTAACACGCCAGTCCTCCGTTAGACATGACCGTCGCAACGTCATCGAGACTCGACACGCTTGAGTATCCACTGCGTGCAACTACTGATCGACTCAACTTAACTTGCAGCTAATCTTGACCAGTCGCTTCCAAACGTGCACTCAAAAGTCTCTGATGAAAGGTGATACCTGGTATCTAAAGTAAGGCATCAAGGTGTACGGTCACACCCGATCGAAGCTTTACACGAAGTGTGTGCCAGGTTGCCAAAGAAATGAATGAGCGGTACCGATCAGACATTGCGGTAGATGTCACCGTTAGGTAGCCGAATGTCATTGTGTCTTTTGAGGGGTATCGGCTTCTAGTCGACGTTCTTTTCGACGACCTTGTTATCGTTGTGTATCTCTACTCTATCTGGTAGGTCTCGTCGGACGACCAATCATAACGATACAGTTGTACCGGGCATCCACGCGGGTCCCATGTGTGTCTCTGGTCGATGTTATCAGATTTAAACGATTCTCGTACTCCACATAATGCACCAATGTGTCGCTGTTTCGCCTATCATCCGTCGCACACGTACTAGTGTACCCAGTATGCAATAAGTCATGTGGCAAAGCGAGGATTTGGTCAGGTGAAGACTTTAGAGCTGCATCAATAGAGCTGGAGGCGACAGGCGGACAATCCCGTCAGCTGAACGCGTCTGCGGAAACCGTTATGATAAGAGTGTAAACTGCACGGCATGTACAGTTGCAAACATTCTTCGGCGAAGAAAAGAGCGAGTAGCTAGTCTAAAAAAAGGAACTGGACCATACAAAAGTGAGGCTTCTTCCCACAAATGTTGCAACGAATTGAGGTCCTCGATCATTCGAGTGACGAAAATTACGCGACACATTGAGTCTTCCGCCGCAATTGAAATTTGTTTACGGTGACAGGCCTTAAGCACTTGTCATTCGAGAAACCACTCAGTACTGTGCATGCATCCTAAACGCACGTGAACTAGGTTACCCAAATACTCAAAGCACCGCTATAGATTTCGTGGTCAGCAACTTCAGGAAATATACTAACCGATGCCCGAAGAAGGACGAAATATGTAGTGTTCCGACACAAAATTGCAAGAAAGACTACCGGTCTTGGCTGAAAGTTTTTGCAATGGTAATTGCCAGGACCCAACATCCTTCGCTCTATCGCTGAGTGTAACAGTGTCATGCGAGTACCTTTTCAATCACTGAATGCACACCCGCGCAAGCCGTGAACAATTTCATGTACGGGCAAAGATTTCTGGAAGAGATGCGCTGTTGAGTTCTCGCTCACAAGTTCGTAGCCATCGACACGAGATAGTCGGACGACAATTTAGTTACTAGTGCACTCGTTTCTTTCCTTCTTCAAGAATATTTAGCAATCGATATAAGCTGCTGATTTAGCGCGCTGTTGTATCAGTGGTTCAACGGTAGGATGGCGCAGCGTCGTCAAGTGAGTGCATTCTGATATTGCGCCCATAATTGTGATGGAAATACTAAGCTGTCGATACTGAGCAAAGCCCGCTGCCCAGTACTGTGTCATGTAAACGCCAGCATGAAGCCAAATCGGTTGTGCTGGTTTAGAGGAAGCCAGCTCCACTTTATCAAACGGGTATGGTCGATAGCTTAGATCCAGCGAGCAGAATTTGCAAAAGTTTACCCGCAACGGCCGTACGAACGGGTCACTGAATGCTTCATTAGCATACTCGTCAATTCCCCGGAGCCGAATCGTCAAACATTGCACCTTGTTTGCTTCCGGCTGAAAGGATGGCATCACGAAAGGAAGTCCGTCCAACAGGAAGAGGGGTTAAACCTTGTGATCAACCTTCATTACTAAGCGTGCAACCTCATGCATCAACCGACAGCCAAGCGAGAAGCCACCAAGTCCATAAAGACCCTCGCTCAGCCATTTATGAATTTGCCCCCAGTACGACAGTACGGGCTCTTTTACGGTTGGTGGTTGCGTTTCCGAGATCGACTCCGTGTCATCGTCAAAAACTGGCGATGACACTGGGATGCCAACCAACGACACAAATGGTAGTTGTGTTGCTAACTAGCAATTGCAACACCGCGCCATTAGCATCGTGGAAAGAAAACAGCATTGGCAACGAACTACACGCTTTCGTCGGCCAGTTAAAAAGAGCTAATGTTTGAGGTGTCCAATCCCGTAAGTTTGGCATTGAAGTTGCCGCGTTTTTTGACACTTCAGGAAACGGGGAGGAGCAAAAGAACTACTAGATAGCGGGGGGGGGGGGGGGGGGGGGGGGGGGGGGGGGGGGGGGGGGGGGGGGGGGGGGGGGGGGGGGGGGGGGGGGGGGGGGGGGGGGGGGGGGGGGGGGGGGGGGGGGGGGGGGGGGGGGGGGGGGGGGGGGGGGGGGGGGGGGGGGGGGGGGGGGGGGGGGGGGGGGGGGGGGGGGGGGGGGGGGGGGGGGGGGGGGGGGGGGGGGGGGGGGGGGGGGGGGGGGGGGGGGGGGGGGGGGGGGGGGGGGGGGGGGGGGGGGGGGGGGGGGGGGGGGGGGGGGGGGGGGGGGGGGGGGGGGGGGGGGGGGGGGGGGGGGGGGGGGGGGGGGGGGCAGTGGAGATGCTTGGATCTGGTAGAAAATCACCACCCAGCTCGAAGAGCGACATCGACATCCGGCATTTTTATGCTGATCCGTATCGATCTCTTCGGTATCGTGGATGCTGTTGATTCCCGGAACTTGCATCCAAACCTGACGCAATATCGATAGCCAATTGCACAGTAATTGTGCTCCCATTGCCACCATCAGCATCCTGCATAGTTGCTTCAGTACTAGCTGAGTGCACGTTAGCCCAATTTGCAAGCTTGCGAAGATCGACCTTCCCACTTGGCGTACGTGGCCAGCAGCGCACAACATGAATCAATTTGGGCACCATGTGCATCGGTAGGTACTATGAAGGTACGAGCGCAGCTTGTCGGAAAACCGTTTCTCGTTGATAGAGTCACTGATGTTCTCAACAGCCATGACAAAAGCGACAAGAATGGAAGAAGTCTGTTGCTGCTTCGAGCCTGGAGGTCGAGCCTGGGAAATTGCAAGCACCTTTACAGCATTTACGCCTGCGTGACGTAGCAGAAGGTTGCGTACTTCCTGTGGCTCAATGCGCATTCTATGATGCTACACTCGGGCATCCTTTCGTCCCAGAAATACCAGATCCACCGCTTGAAAACCAAATGACCCCCCCCCGACCTTTTATCGTCGACTTCCAAACTTTCTCTAGCGGTAAAACCTCTCCAAGATCTTGATGAAGAATGAAGGCGTTATCGGTCAAATTCGGACGATGTTGGTAGTCTCGAGCAAGACCCGCACTACCAACGTACAAATTCGATTGGATCGGTAACGGATCAAGCGTATGTAGGTTCAGCACAATCATCAGATGACCTTACATTGGTGCGACCGTCTTCAGTCATGGAAAATATCGCATGAACTTTGCGATATCAGTAATCGAGGTAGCTGGAAAGCAGGGGATATAATGGAATCTTCTGCTGGCCCGTACACGTTGGCAATACACGTTGTGCTCTTTTGATGCATGCTGTGAGTGCTCAGCAAAAACCATAGTGCAGGTGTTTTCTGGTACAGGCAATAATTACATAATGCATTTATTTGAAGTGCATCTGTACATTTTTTTCAGCTATCAGTAAGCGAAAGTGAAAGACGAGTCATGTTTGTTTTTAAATTTCTAACCAAAACACGTATTGTCTGACTCTCACCCGCATCGAGCTCGAATGGTTATGCCAGATAAACCTGTAATGGTGTTGCGACAAATTCAAGGGGTCTCGTTTCATCATACTTTGTCCAAACATTCAGGAGCTTCTACTTTCTAATCGCCTGCAAACACTGTCGCCAAATGTCTAGATTTACGATTTAAGAGGCATTGTAACGAGGCACCCTTTGCTTGGGTGCCACGAAACTTCACGTACACTAGTACGTACAGAGGGAAATAATATTCTCAAACAGCTCGTTTGAGTAAAGAGTAAGAAGAGAACACTGTCTAATATAGTTAAGCTATCAATATAACTTTAATCTTTATCTAACTATGTTAAACTACGTCGTCGTATGACGACAACCTGCTCACCACTCGTTCCGCGCGTCTGGCTGCGATTGATGGTAAACTTGGCTGATATATCTGTTATCAATCAATCTTCGAGCAGCACGTGAATGTGATTCAAAGGGATAATCCTCCTTCAATATTACCTTTCTCGAGTAATATGGGTCGGAGATTGCCAGGCTAGCCAATCTCCCTATTGACACCATTTGGTGTCAATATCGTGTGACAGGCTACCCCGTTGCAAGCATAGTCGTCAACATGAATAGCAAACTTAAGACATCAAGTACACATTAACCATTCTCCATTCCTGGTATCAGCAAGTGCACATTAACCATTCTCCATTCCTGGTTTGCTTCTAGGAAGTAATTTAATGCCAGTATTGCAACGGGGCACCGGAGCAACACACCGGACAGCCAGTGTGGAGCTACTCTCACCGACAGCAGTGATAGTGTTTCCTCGCTTCCTATGAAAACTCCGAAGAGGAAGGTAAGGCAACTAAGAATATGACTCGTTGCTGGTCTCAAGTTAAACTATATCACATATAATTAAGTCCTAATCATAAATCTATGTTTCTGTAACGGGGCACCCTGAAGCTTGTACTGGTGACAGTACAAGCTACTTATTCTGATAACAGAATAAGGCGGTGCCTCGTAACTTCACGTACACTCGTACGTGCAGAGGAAGACGGTAAGAAGAAGCGAGTACTCGGTTAGAGTAAAAAGTAGAACTGTATTTATAATAGTTAATGTCTGCAATAAATCACTATTTATCTTCATCTAACTATGTCTAAATACAAATGTGTAAATCAGTTATCTGCTCACCACTCATTGCGTGCGTCTGTCGTGGCGCGTCTTCGTTGGTTGATATAATGGCCTATATCAACCAATTAGGAACTACTTGGAAGTGCTACAGAATATTGTCCTTATGACAATATTCTGAGAATATAACTCTTATAGTTATATTCTATTAACAATTTCTTATAAATTGTTATGTAACGATTCACCCCGTTACATCACCCCCCCTTAACCATCAGTCACTTTAGTGACTGATTGACTAAATGGATACTCGTCCCAAATCATTTGGGACGGGGTTTGCACTTGTTGGTCCGCGTCCACTTTCCAACATCTCATCGCATGGTAAACAAGCCCATGCGATGCGCGAGCAAGGCCGCCGAGAGCGCGTCTGCACGTCTCTGTGCGGACGCCGAAGCAGAAACTACAGCAACTGATGTCCCATCGGTTGCTGAATCGACTCAGCCTGTATCACCTGGTGATGCAGGCGCTGGTCATGAAGACACTCGTGTCTTCACAGAGTACGAGCTCGGTGTCTCGTACTCTCCTGATACGGATGACGGATCCGTATCGACGGCAATTGAATCCAAGCCGCCTGCCAAGCGTGGCATGGACGATGCTTTGCGTCGCAGCATCTTTGGTTCATCTGATGAGTCAGATGAACCATCGCCAAGCGAAGGCGCTCGAGGTCGCGAGACTCGGGCGCTAATAGTGGTGTCGTTTCTCCAATGGACACCACTTCACAGCGAGTGCCAGTACTTCTGTCGGCACGTCGCAGGAAGAGCGGGACCGCAATGTGTTGCGTCTCGCTCCAGAAAAGAAGGCATGGATGCCTCCTAAATCTGTCATGGATCACTTGTCGGCGACGACGAGTGATCGTTATCGAACACGATTGTTCGATTCGTCGAGGATTCATCACCTTGACCCCAGCGCGAAAGACTATCGCGCTGAACATGAAGTTCTTCATCGATGCTTTCTTCAGACATCGATGGTACAGTGGGAATCACAAACGTGATGGTCCCTCACTACTTCAGGCGTGGAACGCCTACATCCATAATCTCGAGGATGTAGGTCGTGACGCTTGGAACGACAAACTTATCAAAGCTCGTGATAAGTTTGAAAAGCGAACCCCGACAGGTGCACGCTATAAGCTGCATCGTCTGTCAAGGGAGAAAGGATTACCCTGCCTCTCTTGGGGAGACTCGTGCCCATGTTGTGTGAACAACTCTGCACGAGCACCTAAGGAGGCTTACCTCCTTACCAGCCCGTGGTGGCGCGTACGTGTCTCTACTGAGATGTACGAAGGGATTGACAACCTGAAATCCCTTTACGACCGTGCCGGGAAGACTTTCTCCGGCGGTCCTTCTGCGGCACAGGATGTGTCGCGTCGTACTGCTCGACCAGACCCAGTACGTCAACCATCAGTTGGGAGCGGGGCTCCCAAGAATCCCAGGACGGGGGATAGCCGCGCCACCGGACGAGGTAACTCGTCCGACGTCCGTTCACGTCGCGGTGGTTCAACAGCTGCTCTACTAGATAGCGCTGGCCACCGCGAGAGTCCTCTAATGGAGGTGGAGGAGGAGGAAAGACGCTCTCCACACGATCATGTGGATCGGTGTGTTCCCGAGAGCTTCTTTGATCGCGTAACGCAAGGGTTACGCGACGATCTCGAGCATGAGCGGAATAGGCGTCTCCAGATGGTGGACACTGCCTCGAAGCATCGAGCTGAGTTTGCCTTTGCTCAGCTTGAGAACGAGAGATCTCTGACATCTCTTCGTGACGAGCTAAGGGTAGCTCGTGGGATTGTTGATCGGTCTCGGGCTGAGATAACTGCTCTTCAGACCCTTGTTGATGCCCACCATCGGGAGCACAAGGCTCTCTGCGAGATGCTTGAGCGCAAGGGCGTTCTTCATCGGAAGAAGCAGCGTACTGATGGTACGGCTTAAGCCGACCAACGTAAAACGTGGGATGCGTTCGCATCTTACGTGGTAACTCGATCGTGTATGCATTGCCTAGGCGGTGCAATACACGAAATGGACCAATGTACTTGGGTAGTAGTTTACTGCTACCCAAGTTAGTCACTACATGTTTTGGTAGATTAACCGTAGACAGTAGGACTAAGTCACCTTTATTAAATAAAAGAGTGTTTGCCCTTCCATTCTTGTCAGCGTTTTGCTTTTGCTTATCCACCGCTTCGGCGATGGAGTCTTGCACAAAACGGACTACCGTTTCACGAGCCAGTATGAACTCATCTGATGACTCGTTAGCTTCAGTGTGCTGTGAGCGCACTGCAGCGACAACAACCTTTTCTTCAGTGAGGGCTTCCGCACTCTCACTGGGATCATTGTCTTCAGTGAGGGCTTCCGCACTCTCACTGGCATCATCTTCTTCGATATCGATGTTATCGATATCGGCATCAAACGCAATGACTTCTTCGTCAGAGCGTGATGAGCGTGAACCAAATCGGTTTTTGCTCGCGCGAGTCCCTCCCCCCTTAAACCAGAGTTACACTCTAGTAAAGGTGGGTACACGCGGATGGCGCAAGCCATTCACGTAAAACGGTGTATGTGTCGTGGACGCATGCACCGAGTTGTTGATGGCAAACTCTACCATCGGCAAAAACTCACTCCAACTCTTAAAGGAGTGTACGTATCCTCGAAGTATCTCTTCAAGGACACGATTGGCACGTTCCGTCTGACCATCTGACTCTGGATGATCAGATGTTGACATCTTCAAGCGCGTTCCGAGTGATTTGAACACGGAACGCCAGAAATCAGCAGTGAATCGTGGATCTCTGTCTGATACGAGTTCACGGGGCAACCCATGAAGTCGGAAGATGGTGTCAATAAAGACACAAGCACAGCCACTTGCCGTGATTGTCTCTGGTACAGCCACAAGGTGTACCATTTTGCTGAATCTGTCAACAAATACGAGAATACCCGTATTCCCGCGTGCGTCTTTGGGTAACCCGAAGACGAAATCCATTGAGATGGATTCCCAGCACTCAGCCGGAACCGGTAGAGGCTGTAAAGGTGCACGCAGTGAAGGACTTGACTTCACTCGTTGGCAGACTTCGCATGCGCGAACATACTTTCGCACAAACTGATACTGGCGGGGCCAGTAAAAGTCTCGACTTACCGTGAGATATGTTTTCTCTCGGCCACGATGTCCTCCTATAGGAGCATCGTGATACTCGAACATGATCCGCAAACGCAGATCAGTATCATCTGGAATGACAACACGTGGTGTGTCACCAGAAACGGCTGTATAGTACAGTAAACCGTTACGAGTAGTGTATCGATCTGATGCAGATCGATACGCGAACGACAATCGTTTCAACGATTCTCGAGATGGTTGGGAGAGATGTGACAACAACTTCACTATCTCACCATCTTGGGCGTATGCCCGCCTCACATCATCATACAACGTTGTAGATGGAACTGAGGACGTCATAACCGCAACAGTGACTGTCTCACTGTTGGGTTTCGCGACTGTTTCAAAGTCGGGACGACGTGAGAGTGCATCAGCGACGACATTAAGTCGTCCTGGTTTGTACTCGACCGTAAAGTTGTATTCTGCAAAGAATGACAACCACCGCGCCATTCGTTGTGAAAGGTGCGGGCTGTTCACTGCCGTGCGTAAGGACGCATGGTCAGTGTAAACAACGAAGGGTCTATCTCCTAATAGATAGACTCTGAACTTCGCGAGTGCATACTTCATGGCAAGGAGTTCCTTGTCATGCACTGGATAGTTCCGCTCAGCTGGTTGCAGCTGACGCGACTGATAGCAGACGACGCGTTCAACGCCTTCAAGGTCGTACTGCATTAATGCACAGCCGATTGCGAAATCGCTGGCATCACAGACCACATGAAATGGCCTGTCCTGATCGGCTATTGCTAGGACTGGGGATTGTATCAAGCTCTGCTTGATACCCTCAAAGGAGCGTTGACATTCAGCGTTCCATAACCACCTCTCGTTCTTTTTCAACAAACGAGAGAGGTGTACAGTCATCTCGGCGTAATTGCGTGAATACTTATGCAAATACGCCGCTAGCTAAGGAATTTTCGAAGACCTTTGACATCGACCGGCACGGGCCAGTCGGTGATCGCCTTGATCTTTTCGGGATCAGGACGTACACCGTTCTTACCAACGATGCACCCAAGAAGTGGTATTTCGCTTGCTGCAAATATACACTTCTTGAGGTTTGCATACAATTGATGCTTTCGCATGATTGTAAGAACTTGTCGGACGTGGTACTTGTGAACCTCAACGTCCGACTTTCCATCCATAGCTCGACTATGGATGAATACGTCATCGAAATAACTCGGCGCGAATTCTCGTACTGGCCTCAACAGATGTGATACACACCTGTTGAACGTGGCAGGGGCATTACTGAGCCCTTGTGGCATTACTAGCCATTCCCAGAGCATGCCGCTAGGCGTGCTAACTGCGGTATAGGGTATATCCCGTTCCCGCATTAGGATTTGATAGAAGCCATCCATCAAATCCATGGACGAAAAGATGGTACTCTTTGACATACCATCAATGATTACGTCCTTCCTCGGTATCGGCGTCTGAGCCGGTACCGTTGCAGCGTTCAATTTGTTAAACGCGTGCACTATCCGCCACCCTCCTGTTGCTTTTCGCACACAGAAGGTCGGAGAGCTATGTGGGGAAGTTGATTCCCTCACATGGCCCGCTGCTAAACGATCGGCAAAGAACTTGTCGATCGCAAGTACTTGTTCACGAGGCAGTGGCCACTGCTTCATGACACAGTACTTCGAGCCTGGTTTAAGCTCGACTTCGTGTCGAATACCTTTATCCTTCGGTAATTCGCACGGAACAGTTTCAGGGAATACATCCTTGAATTCAACCAAATCTTCATAGAGAGGATTTTCCTTGAGCGATTCCCATGATTGGGACTCATATCGCTCAATTCGTGTCTTTTCATCTAGGACACTCTCGTCCATAGATGAACTACTGAGAACTCTCTCGTTCTCAGTAAACACTGTTGCTGACCTTATGTCGGTTACATACTCGTCGTCAGCGACGAGTATGCAGATCTGCTTGACTTTGCCACTACGCAGATCACGCAAGAATCTTTTATGTTCGAGCGTTGGCAACTGAGTGATCTCCGAAGTTAACTTCGGAGGCGCAATCAGATCAAGTGTATAAGCGCCTACACATGATCCGTTATTGACTATGACATTCAATGTCTCTGTCATTTCCTGGGGACTTATTCCCTCAGGCTTCGAAGGACTTATTCCTTCGTCTTCCCGGGGACTTATTCCCGCGGGTTTCGGGGAACTTATTTCCGCCGTATTTGTAATCTTGGGACTTATTCCCTTTACTTCCTCTAGCTGGGGTTGCGCAACCACAGCGAGATCCTCTACGAAAGACTCTCCAGTCGATCTAGGATTATCGTTTCGCTTAACCTGAGCGATCGATTGTTTCTCTTCTAGATGTTCCCCTCTAGGGATACATCTTTGTCCCAGTCCACCCGACTTATTCGAGTGGTGGACCTTCGGCGCAGCCTGTGTTTCCCTCACAGCCGCCGGAACTTTGCTCCGAAGTGTAACCGTTTGGTACACTAAGGTTTTGTGCAGTCGTACTAACGACCGTACCACAAGTGAGGCCATCGCACTCACTCGTAGTACATCCACACGCTTGTGGACGCTCCAAAACGTTCATCAGATGGCCATCTGATGAACAAGCGGCAGAGCATCGTTACTGTCCGATGTTGCCAGTTTACCCGTGGTTCGTACCTTCTGAGCCACGGTATTCCAAGGATGACATCAAATTTGTCATCCAAATCCAATACGATAAAGTCATCGTCGTATTGGGTATCTTCTAGCGTATAGTGAATCTTCACTATACGCTTCATATTTGGTTACGGATGCGCCTGTCGCAAGACGTACCGTCATCCTCGTAGGAGGTGTGTCACATTCACTGAATTTAAAGTGACCATCTTCTAGCGATTGGCGTCGCACAAAATTGTTGGACGCCCCACAATCGACTAGAGCTCGAAGGGACAACTTATTCGTCACTTCGAGTTTCAAGAGTAATGAGTGAGATCTCATTACCTAGAGCAGCAACGCACAATGTCTGTGTGTTGGGAGCAACCTTCATCAAGAGGCCTACAAATTCTCTTGACGTTGCTGGATCAGTAGGGTGCTCCGCACCTACTGATCCTGTCCGTTTTTGACGGTCCATCCCGTTGTTGCGTCTTTGCACCAACTGCGGACCCTCGTCCCTGCCCCTTTCTCATGGGTGGACGGTCACTACGCCCAGTGTCGCGAGACACTGGACGAGGAGCACTACACTCGTAAGCGTAGTGTCCTGTCTTTTGACATCTGTTGCATCTCTGCAACTTCTTGTAGCCTGTAGAGCGAGCCTTCTCGCTCTCTACATAACAGAGTTCCATCGGCTCTGGACCTCCGTTGTCATATCGTCTCGGTTGACGATATGATGTCGAGCTGGCGCGAGCCTGTCTCAGACTGAAGTCTTCCTGCTCCGCAATGGAAATGGCTTGTTCTAGTGAATCTAGTTCAAGCCGGAACAGGTGAGTCTTGACGGGACCATCCGCAAGACCCTGCATGAACACCGAAACCAACGTGTGTTCATCCACCGGATTGGAACTTATACAACTCGTGAGATGTCGTATATGTTGAGCGTAAGCGTGCACATCACGCTTACCCTGCTTGAGCTTCAAGAGTTCGGTTCGAGCTCTGAACTCAGCTCTAGGCGGTTCAAACGTTTGTCTGAGCCGCGACTTGAAGACTTCCAACGACCCAAACGCATATGGGTCGTGCAGCTTGAGCCCCAGTGCCCAAGTCTTGGCACGTCCTGCCAGATTTGACTGGGCAAATGCAACTTGCATATCCCCGTCGTCGATGCGACGCGCCCTTATGGCGTCATCCAATTCGACGAACCATCTCAAGAGGGAGTCTTCTTCGACCCCCCTATACTTTGAGATGTCAATCTTCAAAGTCTCGGGCCGACGCGAGTGCATCGACCCGCCAGCAGCAGCCTGCTGCTGTCTCAACAGTTCAAACTGTTGAGCACCTTGTTCTCTCAACAACTCTGCTTGTTGAGAACCTTGTTGGTGAAGCAAGGCTACTTTCTCGCGTTCTGCGTCAAGTTCATTTTGAATGAACTTGGCGATAGTAGCATGTTGGGCATCTCTATTGAGAGCCTCTAGCATGACGCTAACAGCATGGATGCCCATGGTCGAACCCATTCGTTCAACCGCATCCCATTCGACATCGCTCAAATGGGAGTAGCCGTCACGCGTAGCGTGAAAGCTTTGGTCATCTTCATCATCCAACATATTCATGTTGGATGTGAACGCGGTCCTTGGACGGACTACGAAGTGCTACCAGGTGTAACGGGGCACCCTGAAGCTTGTACTGGTGACAGTACAAGCTACTTATTCTGATAACAGAATAAGGCGGTGCCTCGTAACTTCACGTACACTCGTACGTGCAGAGGAAGACGGTAAGAAGAAGCGAGTACTTGGTTAGAGTAAAAAGTAGAACTGTATTTATAATAGTTAATGTCTGCAATAAATCACTATTTATCTTCATCTAACTATGTCTAAATACAAATGTGTAAATCAGTTATCTGCTCACCACTCATTGCGTGCGTCTGTCGTGGCGCGTCTTCGTTGGTTGATATAATGGCCTATATCAACCAATTAGGAACTACTTGGAAGTGCTACAGAATATTGTCCTTATGACAATATTCTGAGAATATAACTCTTATAGTTATATTCTATTAACAATTTCTTATAAATTGTTATGTAACGATTCACCCCGTTACAGTTTCAGTCCTAACTAAGTTGCATTTATCGACAAAACTTTATGCTAAAGTCTTGCTTACCACTCATTGCGCGCTTCCATCGCTAATTGGACCTCTCGAGCTGGCTGATATGATGGCCCTTATCAACCAATTGGTGAGTGCTTCTGAATTTGTATCCTTATGGTAACATTCACGAACTTTACAATAGTGCATTAATAAACCACTATCTAAGTTTATTACGTGTTAGAGGCTCACTTCATTAAATTTACCCTCCCTTAAACGATAGTAACTCAAGCACTTTCATGTTTTCGTGGTCACTTATAGACCGTCTCAGGACAAAGAGAACATTTTTGGTCAATTCAATCATTTCTGAATCTTCGTCGCATGTTAAGAGAAACCATGCGGTGCGCAGTGAAAGCTTCTGAGAAGAACACTGCGCGTGTTAGCGCACATGCTCTTGGCGATGTCCAGCCTCACGCGGCAAACGATGCTTTAGCTGCTGCTAGTGCAACGCTTCCTGCATTATCAGTTGCTGAAGAGGGTTGTGGTGAACCATCACGTGTTAATGATGATGGCTCTCAATTTTAGCTCATCCATTCCGGGGAGTCGGACGGTGGATCCGACTCGAAGAACACATATAGGTGACCCGAGTCTATAAGAGCGACCGAATACGCGCCTATAAATTATGACTCAAGCTGGTAGTCAGGCTCATAGTCACTTCAAGAGTATGTTTGGTTTAGAGGATGAGCATGCTGACTCATCCCCCCCGCGTGCTGAGGCGCATTTGCCATCTAGAAAATGCGTAGATGATTTGCGCCATCGTGATGACAATTCTAGTCATGAAATTACGATGGTTTCACGCAGAAGGCTCAACGTGTCAATGTGCTACGTTTGGCCCCTGAACAGAAGCATTGGGTATTTCTAGAAATGCTTGTGAATGACCCGTCAGGCGAGACAATCCTTGGTCATCAAATTCTTTTATTTGATGCGAGGCTTTTGATTATCCCTAGATACCAGCGCAACCAACTTTCGCGCTGAAGAAGACCTCTATCTCGATGCTTTTCTCAAGCATCGTTGGTATTGAGGCATCTCTAAGCAGCACAAAACCTCGTTGCTGCAGGCGTTGAACGCCCTTATGCTCAATGTAGCACATTGGGCGCAAATGTTGACTTTAGAAACTTAATACAGCTCGTGTTAGATTTTAAAAAGGGACCATGACTGGTGTAAAAGCCAAGCTGCACTATCGGTTTCGTGAGGCAAGGATTTAGGCATCACGTCGGGCGGCGCATGTCCGTGATATTTCGACAACACTCAACGCATACAAAGGGATGTGTTATCCCTTTTTGAGCTCTGGGGTAGGCACACATCATTTCTGACATGCTCAATGCGATTACTAACCTACGATCGATCTACCAGCTCCAGGAGCGCGTGTTTTCTTATGTCCTTACTGAGTCATCGGATGTCTCTCGTCGTACTGGTGTACGAGACCCTCCCAGCTGTCTTGCGACGGTGGATGACCGCGCCAGCGAACAAGACAATCTCTTGCTGCTCTTCCACATCACGTTGGTTCAAGATACGCGCAACGAACGGAAGCGTCAATACTTTCGCGACGAAGTGTATGACCTTGGCCACTAGAATACGGCACGACAGAGCCAGATTAAGACAATTTCTCGGGACCAAAAAAATCTCTTGGAGGTTCTTGAGAGTGGCGGTTTTAATCGCCTGAGGATGAGATCTCGTGCACATAGCAAGGATGAAGACGACTGATGTAAAACGTAGGATGCGTACGCATCTTGCAGGGCAACTCGACGTGTACGTATTGCTTTTGCGATGTAGTACACATTACGGGTCGATGTTACTGGGTTAAAGTTTAATGCTATTAGCATTAGTTACTACTTGCTTAGGTATATTTCCGTAGACATTAGAACTAAGTCTCATGCAATAATCAAAAGAAGTTTTTTCTTCCACGATTGGCAGCGTTCCGTTTCAGCCGGTCCACCTCTTTATTAATGAAGTCTTGCAAGCAACTCGTTCTCGTGCCAGAAGAAATCTTCGGCTGACTAAATTTGATTTGTTGCAGTGCGCCTTGTGCACACCGCTGAAATGTCATATTTTTCTTCATCGTTGTTCCTCTCATTCTTGCTGACGTAGTCTTTGGCGATACTAAATAAATAACAGCATCGTCCTCTAACACTGCTGATGTTTTCTTCTTAGATTTCGAACAGATCAGCAACGTTCGCATCATTTAGTAATTTGAAGCGGATGAGCACGATCCAGAGCGGTTTTCGCTAAAGGAATTTAACCGTTTGAATTAAATGAATTATTGAAGTAGGCGGGTAGGTGTAGATAGCGTAAGCCATTCATGAAGATCAGTAAATGCATTTTCGACGCTTGCACGGAGGCGTTGATGGCAATCACCATTTTCATCGAAATCTCGCTCCAATCTGTGAGAGATTGGACATATCGTCTTGTGTCTCTGTGAGCTCGCGTTTGACGTCAGGTCGGACCATCTCATTTGGATGGTCAGAAGTAGACATTTCAATAGCGCTCCAAGGGATCGGAACACGGATTGCCAAACTCTACCGTGTTCCTAGGGTCACAGTCGGACACGACTTTCAAGTGGCTTGTGGAGTCGGAATACAGTGTCAATGAAGACACGAGCACAACCCTGTGCTGTGATTGACTCCCGAATGGCAGAAATATGTACCATCTTGCTGAAGCGATCAGAAAAATCAGGAATACAATTATTCGTGTGAGCGTCTTTAGGGAAATAGAAGATGAAATCCATTAAATTGGACTGCCATCACTTTGTCGGGATTAGTAGATGCTATAGTGGCCTACGGGATTGAAAGCTGGTCCTCATTCGTTGACACACCTCGCAAGCACGAATGTACTTGCGCACAGACTGATACCGGCGGGTCCAGCAAAAGTCGCGACTAACCGTGAGATTAGTCTTCTCGCGTCCACGATGCTCACTTGATGGTGCATCATGACACTGATATTAGATGCGCAAGCGCAAATTATTATATGTGGAGACGACAACACAAGGTGTGTCGCCGGCAACGGCTGTATTATACAGCAACCCGTTGCGTGCTGTGTATCGATCCGCGGAAGATCGATACAAGGCCGATAAATCTTTGATAGTTTACGAGATGGGTTCACTAAGCGATACATTGGTCGCAGAAGAACCTTATCGTCTAGGTTGGCCTTTCTTATGTCGTCAAGTAATGTTGACGACGGAACAATAGTGACTAGTGTTGCAACAGTGGTGTCAACACCACTATTGGACTGCGCAGATGACTCGAAGTCGGATCGGTGCGACGACGCGTCCGCGAAGACATTAAGTCTTTTGGGTTTGCAATTCACGAAGAAGTTGTACTCCGCGAAGAAGGAAATCCACTTCGCCATCCTTTGTGAAAGGTGTCGACTGTTTACGGCCGTGCATAAAGACACATGGTCTGTGTAGACTACAAACGGCATAACTACAAGGATACAGAAGCGAAATTTGCCATTACATACTTCATGGCAAGAAGTCCCTTTTCATGCACTAGATAATTACGTTCAGATGCAAGCAGCTGACGCGACTGATAGCAGACGACGTGCTCTGCGCCGTCTATGTCATATGCATTAACGCGCAGTCGATTTTAAAATCTCTGGCGTCACAGAAAACATGGAATAGTCTTCATTGTTGTGAGATCACCAAGATGGGCAATTGCATCAATCTCTGCTTGATGCCATTGCATTAACGCTGTAAATATCGTCCATGACCAGTTCTCATTTTCTTTAAAAGACAAGAGAGGTGAACGTTCATCTCGGCGTATTTGTGTGATTACTTGTGTAAGTATGTCGCTGGACCAAGGAACCTTTTAAGTCCCTTGACGTCGACTGGCACAGGCCAGTCGGTGATCGCCTGGAGCTTTTCGGGATCAGGGCGCACGCCATGTTTACCTACGATGCACCCAAGAAGTGGTGTTTCTCTAGCAGCGAACATTTTGAGGTTGGCATAAAGCTTATGCTTGTGCATAATTGTGAGAACCTGACGAAAGTGTGTCCTATGAACATCTACGTTCGTCTTTCCGCCCTTAACCCAGCTAAGGACAAACACATCATCGAAATTACTCGGTGCAAAGTCGCGCACCGGCCTCGACGGATTTTTAACACATCTGTTCAATTTAAAAAGGCCGTTACTAATCCCTTGTGGCGTTACAAGCCACTCCCAGAGAATACCACTTGGGGTGCTTGCTGTAATGTAAGGGATGTCCATTTCACGCCTAAGGATCCATCCACCAGATCCATGGTCGAAATGATGGCTCGCTTTTACATAACATCAAGATTTACGTACTTCCACGGTATCAGCGTTTGAGACGGTACCGTTGCAGCATTCAACTTGACGAATTCGTGAAATATCCTCCATCGTCCAGAGGATTGTGCATGTAAAGGGCCAGAGAGATGTGGGGGGGGGGCTGATTCCCTCACATGACCCGCAGATAAGCGATCGGCAACGAACTTTTCGATTGCAAGTACTTGTTCACGAGGCAGTGACCACTGCTTCATGACACAGCAATTGAAGCCCGGTTTGGGCTTGATTTCATGTCGAGCACCTTTGCACTTATGCAATTCATGTGGTACGGATTCAAAAACGTCCCTGAATCCGTTCAAATCCTTATATATAGAATTTGCCTGAAGCGGCTCCCAACCAGAGTATTCATACCGAGAAAGCTTTCGCTCATTGATGAGCTGCTGAGAACCCGTTCGCTCTTGGCAAATACTACTGTCAACCAAATTTCGGTCACGTATTCATCCTTCGTGACAAGTACACAGAGTCGCTTGACCTTGCCACTACGCAGATCTCGCGAGAACCGTTTAGGAACTAGTGTTGGCAGCTGAGTGATCTCCGAAGTCAACTTCGGAGGCGCGATCGGATCAAGCGTATAAGCGCCTACAATTAACCCGTCATTAACCAAGATGTTCAACGTATCCGTTTCTTTCTTAGAATCCTTTTCCACAGGCTGCTCGGGACTTAACTCCTCACGTTGATGAGGTATCGTTACCTTACCAATTACTTCTTGAGGAGTTTATTACTTAAGTCTGTAGGGACTTATTCCCTCGACGTCTTCTAGCTGTGGTTACGCTACCACAGCTAGAATATCTAAGATCGAATCTCCAGCCGATCCAGGATCATCGTGTTGCCCAGTGTGGGCAACTGGTTTGTTCCTATTTGGATATCGCCCGCCATGTCCCGATCCACTCGACTTCTTCGAGTGGTGGGCATTTGGCGCTGCCTGTGCATTCGAATAGCTGCCGGCAGCTTCCTCCATGTTGTGATTGGTTGTCGCGATGTAATATTGTGCAGTCATATTGACGACCGTACCGGAATTGAGGGCATCGCCCTCACTCACAGAACATTGCCAGTTTACCCTCGTCACAATGAACTTAGAACTAGAAAAAGAAACGCCACTTAGTGCCTTAATTTACTGAGGGGGGTCGAAAACTATGTTTGTCGCCATTCGCTGGAGGATCGTGGCTTCAAGTTCGTTGAGAGCGATATTCCTCCTATGGGGATGACGTTGTGACTTGAAACAGTGCATCGATAGAAGTGATGAAACGTGTACTGGGACTTCATTATACGTTGGAAGATTCGCAGTACGTTGATGATTACATCGAACTTGATACGGAAGACGATTGAAATGTTATCCTAGGGTTACCCTAGATGAGAGAGTACGAACCAAGAGGTAGCTGGAAGCATCGAACCGTGAAGATGCCTGCCACTTGTTCATCAGATGCCATCTGATGAACTTCTTAAAGAGTCCACAAGCGTGTTAATGTACTGCGAGTGAGGGCGATGCCCTTAATTCCGGTACGGTCGTCAATATGACTGCACAATATTACATCGCGACAACCAATCACAATATGGAGGAAGCTGCCGGCAGCTATTCGAATGCACAGGCAGCGCCAAATGCCCACCACTCGAAGAAGTCGAGTGGATCGGGACATGGCGGGCGATATCCAAATAGGAACAAACCAGTTGCCCACACTGGGCAACACGATGATCCTGGATCGGCTGGAGATTCGATCTTAGATATTCTAGCTGTGGTAGCGTAACCACAGCTAGAAGACGTCGAGGGAATAAGTCCCTACAGACTTAAGTAATAAACTCCTCAAGAAGTAATTGGTAAGGTAACGATACCTCATCAACGTGAGGAGTTAAGTCCCGAGCAGCCTGTGGAAAAGGATTCTAAGAAAGAAACGGATACGTTGAACATCTTGGTTAATGACGGGTTAATTGTAGGCGCTTATACGCTTGATCCGATCGCGCCTCCGAAGTTGACTTCGGAGATCACTCAGCTGCCAACACTAGTTCCTAAACGGTTCTCGCGAGATCTGCGTAGTGGCAAGGTCAAGCGACTCTGTGTACTTGTCACGAAGGATGAATACGTGACCGAAATTTGGTTGACAGTAGTATTTGCCAAGAGCGAACGGGTTCTCAGCAGCTCATCAATGAGCGAAAGCTTTCTCGGTATGAATACTCTGGTTGGGAGCCGCTTCAGGCAAATTCTATATATAAGGATTTGAACGGATTCAGGGACGTTTTTGAATCCGTACCACATGAATTGCATAAGTGCAAAGGTGCTCGA